GCCGGACCCGTCAGCTCTATTAACGATCCGGATCCGGTTCTGCGACCTTTCTTCCTTTGTTTCCCACCGTATGTATGGTGATGCCACTGAGCGTTGTAACAACAGCAGAGGCAGCCAAAACAAGGAGTGCGCTGCTTTAGCAAACACCGTAGCAACGGTCAAATGGAAAATAGGTTCTTTAGAGAAAGTGATCCGATTCATGGCATGTGAAACGGACAGTACGCGACTCAACCTTGGATGGTCCGCCGGGGTGCGACGGCAAGAATAAGAAAAACCCCTTTCCCTGTCATAACTCACAAGCTCTGTCGGGAGGGGAACAAGCCCTCCCCTTGGTGGCGCACCGAGAAGGGTCTAGTATGTAAGTCACGGGTGCCAGCCACTCGGATACGGATGAGAGTCAGCAGCGATCTGACCGTGGTCAGAGATGATGGAGCCGTGCAGTGTGGCCAGCTGTCGCAGCCGCGCCTTTGAGTGCTGGTCCGACAATGTAACATTGAATGAGTGATTCAAATCATGGAAGCGACCAAGGTGCATGATGAGATGTTTGAACGGACATGCAAAAAACGGGATCGAGGTCGGGACAAGCTGGCGCGGACCAGAGTGCCACATTTCGGAGTCGACCAAACAAGACATTCGAAGAGGGACTTGATGTCTTTCTATTCTTTGATTTATCCGGTCTTGTTTATTCATGATTTGCGAGCTCGGAGCTCGTCTGATCTAGGATGCTGGCCTTGAGCTTCCGGTCTGTGGCATCGCCAGCTTCAGCCTACCATTGTAACCCGGGTCTGTCTCGTACAAAACCGAGCGAAGTTGAGCCCGAAGCTAACGTGGTGACGCGGCACGGAACGAGATGACAGGCGTGTTGGGAGGAAGGGAGGGAATTGGTGGATTGGCTACTGGGCCTTACTCTTGTCTCCCTCGTAATAATGGGCCATCTCCAGACCGGCTCGCCTGAAGCCGCATTTGACGTAGAAGCCCTCGTTGGCTTCGCTGCAGTCCAGGATGCTCTTGTAGCAGCCGACCTTCTCGGCGATGAAATCGAGGGCCTGGATAATGCGCAGACCGAGTTTCTTGCCCTGCTGATCCTTTGCTACGGCGATATCCTCGATGTGCCCAACGAGACCAAGGCTATGAATGCTGCACGGAAGACGGGCGGTCAGCAAGCCTTCTAAGCATAGAATGTGGCGGCTACGCGACGGTAGACAGCATTGTTATCGCCCTCCCCAATTGCGACTTACAACTTCCGCTCGACTATTAAGGCACCAGTCCCAACGACGGCTTTTCTACTCGTGTCCTCAACGACGAGAATGTAGTACCCATCGCTCTTGGACAGCCAAGCGTAACGCTCTGCGAACTGGGACTCGCTGATCTCACCAACGGTGGTCAGGACACGAAGGCAGTCTAGAAAACCAGTGTTATAGTCAGACTGGCGAAGGGCGCGGACGATGTAGCCCTTGGGGAGAGCAGAGGCGACCGTTGGAGACACGAGGTCGTCGGAGAAGAGACCACTTTCGGCCATTGCTGTCGGTTGTGACTGCGATGAGTTGTTGAGGGGCCTCTGACAGAGATTCTACCAGTGCCGAGGGAGTGACTGAGACGGCTTCAACGGCGGGGGAGAGGACGGATCGACTTCGCGCTACACAATGGTATGTGCAACTGGGAGTTGCGGCACTGCGCTGAATTGGTCAGTGATGCTTTCGTTGGGGGTGAATCCGGAAGCCTGAGTTGAAGGCGTTGAGTTCAAAAGCAAGACAGTGGAGCGGTGAAGAAGAAAGCGGGGATGGGAGAGGAGAAAAGAGAGACAGCGAGGGCGAGCAGACGAGAATGTGGTTGTCGGCGTGCGATGTTTGCTAGAGAAGAAAGTTGCACCTGTTCTCTCTCCGTCGTGTCGGACTGTACAGCGGCTCACCAGGGCGCGAATAACAATACCATCCATAAAGCAGGTCCATCGCAATCGCAAGGCAGCCTCAAGGGGGGGAGGGGCCTGTGTGGGTTTTCGTGGTAGGGGGAACACAACCCTTGTAAAGGTACGAAGTGTACCTATTTCAAGCCCACTTACAGCCCCTCGCCGTCACCAAGGACATCTCAATGGCTGCCATCTCCCGTTGAAATCTGTAGGACTGCCCGCAAGCTTCAGCGAAACGAAGCGTGGACGCTCTGAAAGCGGCCAGCATGACAGTGCGTGCGACCTGAGGAGAGCTGTGGTCAGCCTCGCCTTCACTAGGTATCTACCCACATAGCAGTGCCTACCTACAGCAGGGCACAGTTGTCCTCTTCAGGAACAAGACAGAGACTGCCGGGGAAAGGGGGAAGGAATATACTGCTTAGCCCTGGCATGTCATGCAAACATGACGTCTCATTGGTACTTGGGGCAGAGCTGGCGGGGGTTCCGAGGTCCCTTTCCATCCACACGGGATGATCTGACGGTCTATTGCTTGCTTATAGCTATTCATAGTACGGCAGACTTGAGCTTACGACCGAAGGAACGCGGTATGCGGAATGGAGCTCGGCAGCTAATACGAGCAAATGCGGAACATCAAACACTCTCTTTGGCAAGATTCCGTCGATCCCGACATCTAGCCCCGCTAATTGGCAGGTCTCATTGAAAAAGATAGAGAAAGAAAGGAAGAAGGGTAAAAAGAGATGAAGAAGAAAAAGAAAAGAAAAGAAAGAAAGAATGGAACACTGAGTCGCTCGAAAGTGATATCAAGGTGGCGGTCGAGTCTCGATGATCGATTCGTTGCCCTGCGAGCTGGCTATGATGTGGAGTTTGCAAGTGTGCGAGCAGTGATGAAGAGTGTGAGTGGATGCGGTCATGGGGTCACTTTCTGACGCAGTAGACCTGAGGAGAATATGGTACTGTGGGAAGCACATGAAGATTGGAACGGATGGAGGAATGTTAGGCTGTTTAATGTCACGGGTCTACCTGATCCTGTAATTACCCTCCTACCTGGGTATGGTGAGATGTCACCTGGACATGGAGCAGGACTAACGTTTGATAAGAGGGCTCTTGCAAAGAAACAAAACAAATATGGACAGCAACCCAGCACGTCAGCATATCTGATAAGGCAGGAACGGCAGGCAGGCAAGAAAGCGCGATGATGGATCCAGGCGAAAGCCAATCGCGATCGAGCCTCTCTTTTTTTGTCCGGCGCATGTGCCCAGAACCAAGTACCAAGGTAGGTAAGTAGGTAATTAACCATGGTACCTAGCGACTCTCCCTCTATCTTTGCTTGGAATGCCGCAGTTTCAGCTTGTGTTCTAGTGCGTGGTGCCCCTCCTAAAAACAGACCAAATAGCCGGATCCTTCCCCAAGCCACAATGACTATGGCGATGAGGAACGGACCAACACGGCACACCCCCCTCCGCTAGTCGTCTTCGGCTGGCTGTCAATTGCCGGCCTGGTCTCGCTAAGCATGCGTGTGCACCTGTACCTGCTGATGGTAAATCTCAGCTCGTGGTTGCAGCCTTCGTAATTGTCATTCCTGTGCCTCCCACCCTCTCTCTCTCTCTCTCTTATGTCCGGTTGGTTGACTGGAGACGACCTGGGAATGTACCAAGGTATGTTTTCCTTTGTTACAATACCGCTAGTGGCAGTAGTATCAGTAGTCGAACAAGAAGAAGAAGAAAAATAAAAGAAGATAAACCAAGTCTTCAACGGTTGTCACAAACAAAGTCCCCCTCGCGCCATAGCATTATTGCGGTATATTTAGGCGGTATATTTAGCCTGGGAACTAGAGAGAGGGGGATGAGAGGCAGATAGACGCTCATGCACACAGGTCGAAGCACAAACAAACTTGCTTGGTTCTACCGCCCACAATCAGACACCACCAGCGCTACCGTCGCCGTAGCTGCTTAGCACCGGCTGCTAGTCCAGTCCAGTGTCTTGACTCTTCTCAGGTCGGCCAAATCCATCTCCATCCTCCCTCCCACAGCTACCACGTAGCGTCATACCCGAGCCTTACCACACAGGGGAACCCAGCTTTCGCTACTGCCTACGTGTCTTTGCCCCTCCCAGAACTGCGGAGAGTGTCCCAGCATGTTACCCAAAAGTATCCCCTCTGTGCCCCCAAGACACCATCACCGTCAACGACACCAGTATGAGAGACGGGATGGCATGGCATGGCATGGCATGGGGTCTCCGCGCCGTCGCTCGTGTCGCGCATGAACATCCCCCACATAATGCAATCACATGCTGCCATACCCAACGTCCCACCCCACTTACTCCTATTAGGACCCTGGCACCGCGGCGGCTCAACACGTCAACCCAGCTACCGCAACTCTAAGCCTAGAATACCCCAACTGATTTCCTCTTCGACGCGCTGCAGGACAAATACGCCGTGCTCTATATTTTTTTTTTCACCTCTCCCCCATCCTCCGTCTCTACCCTCGTCACCTTCCACGCACTTCATCACAACATAACACGCACTCTTCCAAGCCAGGTCGGTAAACAAGCATTATACGCCGTAGGATTGGCCTGACAGTTCTTCGGCTACGTCGAGTCGAGAGCACACGGCGGACCAATCAATCGCTATAGAACTGCAGCTACTCTCCACTGCCTATTCCGGCCAAACAACAGGTGCACCCCTCTGCACTGCTCTACTCCTCCTCCAGCCGCCGAACGTGCCTGAATGTTGCCACCACTGTCGGCCGGCCCCCCCTTTCTTCGTCACTTCACCTAATCTCGACCTCCGCTACTATTTCTTCTCACCCTTTCCTGCCATCCGTCGTCTTATATCCGACCTGGCGCCTACCTCGGCCACTTGAAGGTGCCGTTGGATGTTTTCGTCTTCTTGTCATCCTCACTTTGTTACTCGTTACCTACCGCCTGCCCAAGCCTTGAAAGGTCTCCGATATAACATGGCATTTGTACCACTCGTACAACGAATTTACCATCCGTAATTCTATCAACACCTATTCTCGATGCCCCCTGCCTCCCCTTCGTATGCGACCACCTACGTCCGTACCTGTACTGGCACTGGCATCCGTAACAGGACACCATGGAAACCATGGACTCAGATGATGATTGGGACGCCGACGGGCCACGCGACTTGATCCACATCCCTCTTGAACCTCACCAGGGGCGGACAGTACTTCCAAGTCCCATTGCAAAGGCTGTCAGTCTCGCCACCCGGTCAACCTGCTTGGCTATCCGCGTCGGCACCCTCATCAGCTCCTATGGCTTCGATGCTGCCAAGTTCACCACCCTCTCCAGTCTGGAGCTGGGCAGGGGCATTCTTGAGGGAATTCTCAGCAGGTCTGGCAGAGACATGCTCATCCGCTCTAATAGTGACCTGGGTAGGGAGGATGCCGAAACCGTCCTGGAGAGAAGCTTGGAGCATTTACACCATGCCATGTCACAGATCGTATTTTGGACCACCACAGGCTTCCAGATGACAAGCACCACCTTTTCCGTCGTGTCGGAAGTATCACAGCTACTTCTTTCATCTCTCGACCAGTTCTTCGGCTCTACCGACTCATCACGTGCTATCGCTAGTATCATTACTCTCATCCGTCGCGAATTTCAGAACCCGGCAACCGGGGTAGAGGGCGAGCGTGTGGGCGTTGTTGACCTTGTGATGGGCTTGTGCGCTTTGGCGTACCTGCAACGCAAATGTCGGCGCTTCCTTGACGAAGAAAGTCGGCGGCTGGGTCATGATGAAATTGTTTGGGACGTTGTTGTTCTCAACGACGGAGAACGAGTCGATGTCCATGAGAACAGTCTTTACGGAGTGCACAAGGGCCGCTACAAAAGCAAGGGTCCCGATATCTTGGTTTCCATACCGGGCGATCAACCAAGCCCTAGTATCCTAGCTACCATCGAACGCCATGGAGAGCGAGAAACAAGCGAAGAAGACGACGACGACCTGCCCGAGATCCGTCTGAAAAACCAGATTATGCGATCTATGCCCTCGGACACAAGCGTTTCTATATCAACAACTACCTTGACAAGAAAGATGATCACTGTGGATTTCACTGGCCCTGAGCCACCAACCTTGACACCGCCTCCCGGTGTAGAGGTCGTCGAACGAGAAGTTCTGCCATCGGCAGAGTACCCAAAAGAGCAGCTGACACGGCAACTACCAGTTGCCGATGTTCCGACATATCGGGTTGTGTATAGGGTAGACAAGAGCAAACAGCGGACAGCGACATTCCGAGGTTATGATGAGTCAGAAGAGACATCTGGAAAGGTGGAATCCATGGATGATACTGAAGACTCTGATGGCCACGGCCGAGACAGCGACAATGACGACCCACCCCCCGTTCCCCCTAAAGCTACGCTACCGGCTGCCTCGACAAATTCTTCGCGGGCAGAGACAGAATCCATTTCGACCCCTCGGGCAAAACTTGGCCCCAGGCTTCCGTCAACCTCTCCTAACAGCAGGGCTTCTCAAATCCCAACGCCTAAACAGAATCCGGAAAATGCGCCTAATCAAAAGAGGCAGCGAGCGCCACTTGCCCCGTTGCCAGCGAGAGCACGTCATGAAAACGCTGTACCATCGCATTCTGATACCACCAAAGCGAAGAGGACTATAGGCGAACCGTTGTCAACAGGCAAGTCATCAGAAAAGCCTACCGAGAAGAAAGGTGGTATCCGACAGGCTCTGAAAAGAGGTACCAGTTCGAACATCTCCAACCTGTTCCACCGAGATGGAACACGCACTCCGAGTTCGCAACCCACTGGGAAAGCCAAGCAGACACCTCGAGCTGGACCCGTGGACAGGACTACGCGCACTGCCGCTCAAACTAATCGACCTTCCCAAACTCGGGCCATGGGACCGACTGCTGCTTCCAGCTCCCGAGGCCGTAATTACGAGAACCCTTCGCCAGTGCCTCGCAGCTCCTCTCGAGCTAGTTACATCTCTGTCCATGAGCGTCGGCGAGATTCGATTGTTTCACAGACCGATACTTACTCTTTCCATACTTTTGAAGGGCTTCGGCCACAGTCGCCAGGATTTGGTCGTCGAGATGGTATGGGTCAGTCTAGTATTCCCAAGTCGCGGTCGGAGAAGGACATCAGCGACCAGAAACCATCGTCGCCCATGAAATCTCGCAGGGCACGGTCACACGCCAACACGCCAAGTCTCTATAGCATTGCGAACACAGGCTCTCAAACGTCGCTGGTTTTGTCGTCATACTACCAGAAGAGTGCATACACAGACTCTGAAGCCATTGATACCCTGAGGCGGGCAGGAACAGTAGATGGCGTCTTCCCGGCCTTCCACCTGCTTCGTAACATCACCCGATATATGAGGTTTTCTTCGGCTTCCTATGGTTCCAACTTTCTCAAGTTCATGGGTATTTCGAAGGAGATGCCCCTGCTCAGGGCGCTAGACGATACGCATCATGAAATCCGATCGTTTGCCCACCACACGGAATCCGAGGCCGAGAGTATCCTTCTTGCTTCATTCGTTGACGCCCAGGGAGGATCCGACACGACTGGTTCTACAGGAACCGGCGTTCCCCTGGTACATTACATCTCTCTGGATCATGAATCAAAAGCTGTTGTGCTCGCATGTCGCGGCACGCTAGGCTTCGAGGATGTTTTGGCTGACATGGCCTGCGACTATGATAACCTGTACTGGAGAGGCAAGTCATACAAGGTCCACAAGGGTATCCACGCGTCTGCCCGGCGTTTACTCTACGGCGGCGACGGCCGTGTTTTGTACACACTCAAAGAAGCTCTGGATGAATTTAGCGATTATGGACTGGTCCTCTGCGGACACTCTCTAGGGGGCGGCGTAACAGCCCTGCTGGGTACGATGCTCGCGGAACCATCGTCTACGGGTACAGGGTTTGTCACCACGTCTGAGCCGCATCGCCGCCTCCTCGGAGACGGACGCTTCCTGGAGACGGCCACGACGCATGTGTGCCTCCCATCGGGCCGTCCCATTCATGTCTACGCCTACGGACCCCCGGGTACCATGTCGCCTGCACTCCGCAAAGCTACCCGAGGCCTCGTCACGACCGTCGTCCACGGTTGCGACCTGGTCCCGTTCCTGTCCTTGGGCGTCCTGCATGACTTTCAAGCTGTGGCGCTCGCCTTCAAGAGCGACAACCACGAGGCCAAGGTTGAGGTAAGGCAGCGTATATGGCAGGCTTTTCAGTCAGGCCTCGCGGAGAAGTGGTACACGAGTAGCAGTCGCTCGATGGTTGCCGACGAGGACAAGTGGAGCATCTCGGCGTTGACAATGTTGCGGTCGAACATGATGAGTCTCAAGCTTTTGCCCCCTGGAGAGGTTTTTATCATCGAGAGCCAGCGTGTCTTGAGACGCGACGCATTTCTCTTGTCTGACGAAGAGTCTATTGGACGACCTGCGCAGCGAATCGTGTTGAAATACGTGAGGGACGTTGAATCCAGGTTTAGGGAGGTCCGCTTCGGCACGAGTATGCTCATCGACCATAGCCCGGCGAAGTATGAGGATGCGCTGAAGAAGCTACGCTTTGGAGTTGTTGAGACGGGTTGAAAACGCGGCTTGCAAACACTGCCACTTATACACTTTTCCTTTGTTACTGGGCGCAAGATCCCGATGCAAGACTATACCCCCCTTACCCCCCACCCCAAAAATATGATGAGCAAATACGCGTTGGTTCAACACATCTTGACAGAAGAGGGAAAACATGTTAGCGACAGAAGCGTGGTGGGTTGGTTCAATTAAAACCATGTCATTAACTGGAATTTTTGTAAATGCACAGAGAGATATCATAGCAGAGCTTTCTCTTCCTGATACAATACAATAACAGGCAATCTAGATAACTCAACGTGTCTCACTACAGTTCGTTCTACAATTTATCGTTCACTGCGACTTCTCCGTTGTGATCTTGCCGTCTATGTCGTAGAATATCTCCTTGACCTTGACGGACCTCAGATGGTCCACACCATTGCTCAGCTCACAGTCGTGATGGAACAGCCACCACCGACCCTTGAACTCAACGATGGAGTGGTGCGTCGTCCAGCCCAGCACAGGCTCAAGAATGCGTCCGCCGTAGGTAAAGGGACCCAGTGGGCTATCGCTGGTTGCGTAGCAAATATAGTGGGTGTCACCAGTCGAGTAGGAGAAGTAGTAGAGACCGTCCTTCTTATGTAGCCAGGCGGCCTCAAAGAAGCGACGACTGTGGTCATCAGCTGCGATAGGCCTCTTCGTCTCTGGATCGAGAATCTGAATCTCCTGAACCTCGCCGTCAAATTGGTGCATGTCGTTTGTCAGTCTAGCGACGCGCGGGCCTAAGGCATAGGCGCCCTCACCAGTGGGCTCCTTGGGGCCGAGCCACTCGGCATCGAAAGCGTTGTTGCCCTTTTGGTAACACTGGAGCTGGCCGCCCCACAGACCGCCAAAGTAGAGGTAAGCCTGTCCGTCGTTGTCGACGAAGCTGGCGGGGTCGATGCTGTAGCTGCCCTTAATAGGCTCTGGATCTGGGGTGAAGGGGCCCTCGGGCTTGTCCGAGACGGCAACACCGATGCGGAAGACGTCCTGCTTATCGCGGGCGGGGAAGTAAAGATAGTATTTACCGTCCTTAAAGGCAGCATCAGGAGCCCAGAGCTGCTTCGAGACCCAAGGGATATCCTCAGTCTTCAGGACGACGCCGTGGTCGACGACGGGCTCGATAGGGTCCAGTGATGAGGTGCTGAAGACGTGGTAGTCAGCCATGTCATACTGGTCGCCATTATCGTTGAACTTTATGTCGGTTTCTCGATCATGGGAAGGGTAAATGTAGATCTTGCCGTTAAAGACGTGGGCCGAAGGGTCAGCCGTGTAAAGGTGGTTGATGAGGGGCGCCATCGTGGAGGGGCCTGAGAGGTGAAAGCGGGAGCAGGGAAAGGCAGTGGGGCAATGAGTGCCGGCTGGGTTTGGTTGTAGAATTGGGGTTGAGCGATATATGTCTTTGGGAGTTGTTTGATTGTGTGAAACCAAAGGCATAAGAAGTCCCAAAGTGTCTGTAAAATTTTAGTATCACCTAGAGAATGCCCAGGGGAATGGCTTTTATGACGAAAACCACTTCTCCACCATCGCAATGGACCAGCGCGGGGATGAGTTTGATGATGTTGGCCCGGTAGGGTGGAACGCGGGACGACTAGCCAGCGGCTTTTGTATTTATCCAGCGCATTTTCCCGGTTTACCCCATCCTGGCGGATGCGCTTCCCAATGGTTAATTCGTACCGGGCCACCTGAGCCGGCCATACAACGCGTCAATAGTAAGAACTTTGACGCTGCATTGGTGATGAGTTGGCGAACGATGGCTAGTAGGCCGGTTCGAATGGCAGTGAGGGGGAACAATCATTCATTGGAGAACGAAGAAGCCCTCGTATCAACCTCGCTCCCGCACAGGATGAGGGCTGGCGGAGTCGTCTCCCGTCCCAAGGCTTTACTACAGCCATTCTCCGTACCCCCCCTACCCCTCAAACAGGAATATCCTTCGGCGGCAAGCGGAAAGTCGCGGCTTCAAAGCAGGTCGAGATTAGCCGAAACGCCAGAGGCGCGGTCAAGGTGTGTGCTAGGGTCGATGACAATGCCGAGCCGCATCTGGTCATGAAGAGAGTACTCTTATTGCGAGGCCAGCAGTAAAATATGGAAATGGTGTTGGCAGTGTTACAATGGTTGATCAGAAATCCTGGACACCGGTCTCGCCTTGCTTGACGCTGGCTTGTTCGTCGACATCGCTAGCCCAATTGGGATCTTCGTCGTCAAACCATGCCTCTTCAGCATCGCGTCTCCACATGGTGTCGTATTCGTCGTTGTGATCTACCAGACTGTAGTCAAAATCTTCGTCATGGCCATGAACGAAACGTTCAGTCAAGAATTCTTGCCATCTCTTAAGTCCTTCTTCCTTATTCTGGGGTTTGGATAGATCAGCCATAGTAGTGAATTCTCTGACGTATTGAGGCGCCGATTCTGCCTCGGTTGATGCCTTGAGATCAGCAAGACGAGCTTCACCTCTGAGCAGAGAGCTTTCCAGGACGCCCGAGTAGCCTTTGGCCTTGCCCTCGGCCTCTCTCTCAGGAGGTGTCTGAAACCTGCGAATCAGGGAATCGTAGAGGAGAGTGTCTGGGCAAAGCTGTCAACGTTATTCTGCAATATCACAGGGGTCGGTGCCGTGACTGATCCGTACGTTGATTTCCTAAGCAACGCACTCCAGGAACACATGTCAAGACGAACCTGCAAGTTCATGTTCAGCATTGTTAAGATACTCGGGGTTTCGCCCGAGGTATTCTTGGCGACGGTTGCGAGACCGTATATCGTTGGTCTTGGCAGTTGACTTTGGTGGGCGTGGGACTGGCTTGTCGGAATGCAGACTTTGCGCTTCCCGTTCTGCTTTAGTGAACGAAGGCATTGCAAATATCGTCGGAGGGTCTTCTATAGGTAGGAAGGCATGCACAGCCAAGCAATAGGAAGACCCACTGATGTATGAGTGATAGATGCGGTGACTGGTATTCGAGATGCTCTTAGACTAAAATGAAGGAGTGAAGTCAAAAGTGAGTCTCAAGACTTTCAGACGCGAATTAATTGGCCTCTGAGGCAGGAAACTACCAAGTTTGGGAGTTACTAGGTAGTTACCTCAGTAGATGTCTGTTTGTAGTGTGGGGCGCGACCTGCCCGAGGTACGTACTCCAAAACGCGTTCAATACCATCAACTTGGATATGCTCTAAGAAAATCCCACAAGCCACGGGAGAAGAACACTTGACTCCATGCACAATTTGATTTCCCCTCGGAAATAATTTTGAAGTTCACACCAAAGGCATCCTCATCTTTCATGAACGGATTCGACAGGGTTTGTTGCCAAAGCGCGTTTGTGGCTGGTGAACGAGGTGCCGAATTGCCTCCCTGATATTCCATCCGTGCCTAGCTACCTACCTACATACCTAGGTAGGTAGGTCGGCTACTAACCTCCCTGAAACCTGCCACAACTCTGGCAATGTCCGCTAGGGTGTTTCCTTGATCGAGTTTGGATTGGCTCCTCAGCGAATGTGTCAGTGTGGCCTGGCAGAGACTGGTGAGGGGGACCCGTTAGGTAAGAACAATCCCGTCCATGGTTCAGGGATTCATTTGCATGAGCTGCATGGGCTATCCCACTCAACCGACGGTTGGCTCTACCATGTTCTGCGTTGCCAGGCTGTCTGTGAAAGCGTGTGTGAATGTGTGAGGTGCCCCGGGCAATGTGCCAGGGTTTAATGGATTAATTGAGGCATCCTGCCCACCTCCAATTACCTCGTCCAAGATTTGTCTTGGTTTGTGTGGCTAAGCTCTTGGTGTCTGTTTCTCTCCGTTCATGATCCAAAATAATCAGCCTGATGGTAGAGTGATTTATCGGCGCTTGCTCTGGGGTTCATCTTCCCCTTTTCTCTGGCCTGAATTTACTTGACGCATGGTGTCCTTTCGAGTACGAAACTGGACCGCTCACTCTTGCTTGCAGTCTTCCTCTTTGTCTTTCGCTGTGTGTCCGGGTCTGTATCCCATCCCTTTCATTGTGATTTGTTTCCCTTGGTACTTCAGTTCCGTACACAAGTCTCCCGCTCGAGAACCCCAACTCGCTCGCTTATCATCTGTTCATTTGCCGTTCTGGACATTCTGGTCATTTCCGTCTTGTTGCCCAACACCCGTATTGTATCCATTCCACTTTTGTCCCGGTTTACTGAAAGTATTCTACCGTATTCACCGTATCACTTCTGCAACTCTACAGACCCCAACGGTATCCATCTTCCTCCATCCCTCCCTCCCTCCCTCCCTCCTTACCTTCGGTGACCAAGGCCGCCTGATATCAAATCCACCTCTCATGCCATTCACGCTGGCCATCCCATCGCGCGTCACCCTTCGCCCGCTCGGCGTTTCTCAATCTCCGCTCACTTGACTCAAAAAGACCCGCCAACACCGTCGCAACAAGATACAATACCAAGCCGAATCGTGGCAGCCCGCCTCACCTTAACTTCTCGCCCGAGCGTAGCCCTCTCTCTCCAGCTGCATGTCATCTCCATGGGTACTGCTGGGGATATTCGAGCTCGTCTTCGAGCAAAATTCTCGAGAAGAAACTCGGCTGCACCGTCCTTGACGTCCAACGGCACCGGCACGAGCACCAACGGCGATGCTCATGGCTCGCAGCAAGCGGATGGGACGAGTCTTACGCGGCAATCCTCGGCCGCTGCATCCATTCCCAGGTCGAGGGCGAGCTCCCAGCATCCGCACCCACATACGCACCTACCACATTCCACACCTCCCTCGCGCTCGCCGACTCCACACCAGCCAGATCACGGCCTGCAGCATCTGCAGACTCCGCCACAGTCCGCCACACCCTTACTCACAGGCAGCCCTGGCGACCACCCGCTGCAGCAGAGATTGAATGCAATTACGGCAACGGCCCCGGACACAGTAGCGGAAGGCGCGCATGCTGACGAGGACCAAGAGGAAGAGCACTTGTTGCCACAGTCGTCGTCGCCTTCATCAGAACATCAACAGGTCCAATACCATGATGACCCGATCAATCATGGAACTCAAGATGGCGGTGCGTCTCTCAACAGCGACAACTCGTTGGTGACAGAGGACACCCCAACTACTGCTGCAACTGAACCAGCGGACAACCACAGGTCCGCAAGTAGCGCCAGCGATAGGGCCAACAGAGACACTGTGGACGAAGCCCACAAGCCACACCCCAACCTTGACTCGCTGGCTCCCATGCAGCCCGCGGCGCCTGACCAACGCTTGGCTAGTGAACCGATGGACAACAGTCTGCGCTCATCCTCAATCACCACCGCTGTTGCAACTGCCCTCAGCAACAACCTCCCCATCATCAACGAAGACCAGACCCCCGAAGCCGACGACAAAGAGAAAAACCTACATCTGTCACAGCCGCTTCCGCTGCCGCAGGTTCACCAGCCACTGCCGCCCAAGATCGGCGCGGCACCCACCCTTACTCTCGAGACTGTTTCTGTCGAGGACCTAAGCGACGACCAACTTGATCCCCTTAGCCATGCCCTCGGCACCCCGACACCCCTCGTAGCCAGCATCCTCCCAGCCTTGCCGCGGCCAGACGGCCCCCCCCGTCGACAGAGCCTCCTACCGAATCGTCAAACGACGCTAATCCGCAATTTGCTCGAAGCACGGGCAGACCACGAAGTCGACCCAGCCGCCACCGATTCGCTGCTTCCAAACATCGCGAACATGGTCACCCGCAAGGTCTGGGTCAGACGCCCTGGTGCCTCCCCCACCCTCATCACCATCAATGAGGATGACCTAGTTGATGATGTGCGCGACATGATTTTGAGAAAATATGCCAACTCCCTGGGCCGACACTTCGATTCTCCCGACCTTACTCTACGCATATGCCCGCGCGAACAAAGGCAAGATCGTCTCTTGGGCCCGGAAGAGCCCATGGGTCGCACTCTCGATGCGTACTTTCCTGGCGGACAGAACGTCGAAGAGGCCTTGCTCATCGATATTCCCAGCCGCCGCACACCACGGCCATCACCTCGCGCCCCTACACATGCTACAACCATATGCTACAATGATGATGCCAGGCCTTCTGAGGCCGGCGAAGGGTATTTCCCTCCCGTAGCGGGAACGGCATCTCTTCCGTCGCCGAACCTGCCGGTTCCTCTTGTCGCCCCCGTCACTGTTCCTGCGACGCGTTCCATTCACCCCGTTCATGCCCATAACACGCAGCATTCTATTGCAATTCTTGGGACGGGCCAAGTACCGCCGATACCCTCGCCGAGACCCCACACATACCGAGATCGCCCCGATCGTCCTCGCCTTGGAAGGAAACATACCTCATCGCCTACTATCCTGAACCAGACTAATGTCCAGACCATGGCGCCGGCCGCAGCCACCGCTACAGCCGCTCACCCTGCCCATTCGTTCCAGCCACGGCTACCAACTTCAAGAACACACTCGAATACCTCAGAACAGTCCAATGTTCCACCGGCTGCACCTCCGCTTCCAACCCCTCCTGCCCCTGAGATCCAACCGGCTAGAGTCGCAACCCCTCCACCGACGATTGCCTCTCCTCGACCAACAATTTCTCGACCCAAGAAGACTGATAATAATATTAGGGTTGGCCGTCCGAGTCTGCCGGCCGGCATACTGAATGGAGGAGTGCCGCCCATCAACGTACTGATTGTAGAGGATAACCCAATCAATCTCAAGCTACTTGAGGCCTTTGTTAAGCGCTTAAAAGTGAGATGGAAAACGGCGGTCAACGGCCGCGATGCTGTTACCATGTGGAGGACCGGCGGGTTCCATCTAGTGTTGATGGATATTCAACTTCCCATCATGAGTGGATTGGAGGCCACTAGGGAAATTCGAAGGCTAGAGAGAGTCAATTCGATTGGCGTCTTCTCTTCGTCTGCGTCAAGCGTGCCGGAGGCCCCTAACGGCGAGCCCGAGGAGAAAGATAAGTTGACAAACATGGAGCTTTTCAAGAGTCCCGTCATCATAGTGGCCCTGACTGCCAGCTCTTTGCAAAGCGACAGACATGAGGCACTGGCCGCCGGTTGCAATGACTTTCTTACGAAGGTATGTGAACAGTCTTGATGGTTTTGTCCCTCTACAACCCGAAACACTCCGAACTGACAAGATAACAGCCTGTCAATTTCGTTTGGCTGGAGAGGAAGGTCATGGAATGGGGTTGTATGCAGGCTCTCATCGACTTTGACGGATGGAGGAGGTGGAAAGATTTCTCTCAGCAAAACGATGAAGCTGAGGCAAAGAAGTCCGCCGCTCTGAAGACGAAGGCAAAGAAAAATCGTCTATCGATGACGTCTGTTCCGGCATAATGGATGCTCTGAAGCCTTTTGGCATTGGGCGACTGTGTTCCCAAATACCAACCCCTGTCTTCCTCTGTTCAGCAGAAGTTTGCAGTCAAGACGAGATGGATGGGCCGATCATGCAAGGCCCATTCCTTACCACAGCTCCTTCATTCACCGACGCAGTACCAATTCTAACGTGGGACATCTGCGTCATGCGCAATAATTGGCAGCAGTGCTGCTATTGCAAAATTGTGGAAGTGTCTATTATTGCTGGCACCTCATCGACTAAAGAAAGGAACATAATGTCTCCCATGGAATATATGGAACATACGAAGAAGGGATGCGCAGAATGATACCAGGTAGCGCGTATACATGGAGTGTGTAGTAATTATAATTGGCACAATGGAGTAACAATCCCACCTGATACTGATACCAGATTTCCTGCTAGAAATAACATGCGAGATGGAAGTCACGGTTCATAAGGATGTTTTCATGCCGACCTTCGGTCAGCATTCCGTGTTTCGGAACTTAGCATCGGCAGCCTTGAGCCTGACGAACAAGGCAGCATTGGATGCCATCGCCTGCTGTGATAGCTGAAGACAAAAAAGAGTGCACCTGAGGCATATGAGGGTATGACTAAGGCATAGTGGCATGGTCCGTGCGCCATCTCCTACGAAAATAAGGGAAAATTTTGGACACGACTTGAGCTTTTCCCTTCCCAAACCAACTCCGATAATCCTTCACCACGGTTTCCAATGGTCGCTTCTCTTTAACTCGGTGAATCCAGGCGCGCTTTCCGCGGCCAGAGCATTCTCATCACAATGGCGCCACGAGCCGGCTCATCATTATCGCCAATGGCCCTTGCGGCCAAGTGGTGTAATACTCACGCGAGCACAGCATCACGGTCTCGGCCAGCTGCGCAACTCGTTTGTGCATTTTCAACAACTTCACAACCATTCAGAAGGTCAAAACCACAGCATGAGCTCCAAACTTGGCTCAAGACTCGGGGCTCCATCTTCCGTGATGTCCCCAACGACGGCCCCAAATACCTGTCCATGAACGAGGACCAGCCCTTCCCGATGAATCCATTCTTCAAGAGTCAACCCGTCCTGAGCGAGGATATGAGGGAAGAGATCTTCACAAGGGTTAAGAAGAAAAAGGAATCTTTGAAACAAGTCTCGGCTGAGCTTGGCGTCGATGTTCGACGCGTCGCTGCTGTTGTGCGCATGAAGGAGATCGAAAAGCAGTGGGTTGCCGAGGTAAGCTTTTGAAATTTCACTTCTACTCAGGCATGGATCTCTCTCAGCATTATGATGATCAACTTTCCAAAATTCGATTAGTCTTGAAGACGCAACATATGGTTACACACTGGCACTGCGAGCCTCTCTGATTTGCTGACTTGCGAACAATTCTTTGCACATTCTTGTCCGATTTCAGTCAGCTAACTCCCCGACTTGACAGCATAAACCGTTGGCCAGACCATATGCCAGGGCGGTCCTGCGGATGCTGCCTCAGACTCACCTGAATAAGGACAGGCCGGACCTTCAGACTCCTCACGAGCCTATCAACGAGATACATGTTCATAAGCTTACGACGCAACAATTGTTTGTGCCTGTATCAGAGTCTCGCCAGTTCGACAGAGAAGATGCTGCCAAGGCTTTTCACAGAAAGATGCTTTCCGTTGACGACCGTTCGCCACATAAGGAGCTCATCTCCATGAAGAAAGCTGACGCTGCTGGAGGTTCGAAAGCTGACTTGCTCAAGAAGTTCAGAGAGGCCACAAGAGCCGAAGAGGACAGATTAGTGGAGAGAGAGCGCCGCCGTTTGGAGAAGGCCGAGGAAGAGACGCAGCGTGTGGATACTGGACGTTTCGAGTTCCGGTTCAAGGAGATGAACGTTGAGAGCGCCGGCAAGGACGGCCGGAGTAGAAGAGGAGTTGGCTGGAGATACGGCGTCCCTTTCTACGACCGCAGGAAGGGGGAGCTCAAGATTCCCACATCGGTGCCTTGAGCATGCCATTTTTTCTTCCTTACCTCTACCTGTCCTCAAGGCGGTCGTCGATGGCGCTGAAACGGAACGCCGGCCCAAGAACGGGCCATGATACCCCCCAAGCCACCGAAAGATGTATCAAGCCTATAGGCATTACGGTGCTTCGTGTTGGCGTTTATCCCTCTGTATGATAAGCGACTATATCTGTTTACTGTATATGTACATGTATCTGTATAACGACAATATTAGCCGAAGGGTTGGCTCGTACAAGAGTCACGAGCCCATTAAAAAATTCAAAAAATTCAAAGCAAGTAATTCGAGTGTGATACCCAGTCTAGTGCTTGATGCTCGTCGGAAATATCCACTATGAGATTGGAGCGAATCCTATCGATGGCCTCTGCGGATAGGCGACATCTATTTTGCACGTAAGTCTCGATGGAACCATACTCCTCGCGAAGCTTGGCTAGTGTTGCGAGCATGCTTTCCTTCCTGGACTCGGCATTAGCAGTGTCGGCAAAAGAGGACATGTCGCCTAGGTGCAGGACAAAGGATGGCTACGACCAGGAGCGTACACATACGGAGAACTAATCATACGCCGGACACCCTCGAGATTTCCCTTGAGGGCTTCGGTGGCGAGGAGGTGGTTAGCAATCTCTTCCCTACGGTCCTGGAGGCCGATGTCCGTCAGGCTGTACTCGTGGGCAATGACTTCGTCCGCGACGCCGCAGAGGCTAAGGATTATGGCGCAGATAACGCCAGTTCTATCCTTGCCGGCGGTGCAGTGGATGAGCATCGGAGACGGGGGGTTGGGGGTTGCGAGGTGAGAGAGGATTGTGCGAAAGGGGTCATTGGGGTGGTCAGGCTCCGAGGCGGTGCGTAGGATGTCAGTGTAGGCTTTGGTGAAACCCTACGAGCGGTTTAGAATACAAACGCAGCGTAAGAAGTTCCAGTCATATGATCGGGAGAACCATCTGCCGGAAAATGGACGGGGGCTCACCTCGGTACTGTCGCTCGAGTAGTTACGATAGCGCAGGGCAATGGCCTCTGGCCCGTAGTCCTGATCCCGGAAGACGGGAACGAAGACGCGCTGGGCGCCGGGCCACTCGCGGACGTCGCAACTCGTCCCTGCCTGAGCGAGGCGCTTGAGCTCGATGGTGGAGCGGAGATCGAAGACATGAGTGATACCGAGATCCTGGAGGCGGGTGATGCCGTCGTCGGTAAGGCGTGAGGGCTCTGCGGAGCGGAAGACAACACCAGGCCTGAGGATGCAGCCGGGCTGGGCATCAATGGGGTAACCGCCGGCGTCGCGGAAGTTGGGCAGGCCCGGAATAGCATGAAAGGGCGGCGATGGCAGTTTGGCCTGGGCCTTTGGGTTTGCATCTGTCATTGTTTGAGATTACGGGTGTTCCTGGCGGTGTGAATGGCTGGCTCTATGACGCCTCAGGTCGTGGTACTTGCACCGTAGATGTGGAAACCATAGGCAAGAGTCAGATCAGGCTGATCTGTGTGCGCCCGTGGGGTTATTCGTCTGTTGAAAGTGAGTTCTGTAGGGAAGGGGGTGGTATCCTGGCAGCACTTTCTGGAAAACAGGCCTGGAACAGTGATGCGCGCGTCTCCCTATATCACACTAAGGCACAATCTCATCCTTTATTTTCCCTCTACTTCACTGTCACGTACAAGCTGGTCAGACGCAGCACATTACATACAAGGAAAACGGTGCAGATTAAGAGGTGCTTCTTTTCATAGTAAACGCCAGCGCCACATTTCAGCATCCGTCTAACCAAAGCAAGTGAACCAGGAACACACGCATAGCATAGCCTTTCACCCTAGAAAGTCGACAATTATTATCTTCGATCTGACCCAAATGCGTGTCACGCAACTGTGCCGTCCAATGCATGTCTTTTCAGTTTGGGCAGCCAGCACCAGCTCATTGTCGAAAAGGGCAGGAATACTGTAGCGGAATGTGCACGCAGGCTCGTGATGGTTGTGTATGAGGGCTCTAGTTGATCACGCGTCGAAGGTGGGCTGTTTGATGCTTGGTTCATGCATACCACCTTGTCGTTTAACGACCATAGGCATGCGCTATTCGGCAAGTGCCTGTCATGACTAAGCCATGTCAAGCCAGAACTGGGCTGAGACGTTTGGTCGCGGCAGAGCAGATGGGAGATATTACGAGACGTACCAATCTGTACATTGCAAGGGTCTAGGAGCAATCCCCTAGTCCAATTTCACTGCGTCAATGAGTGACTCGAGTCTAACCAACCTGATCAATGTAAGTGAAGGGATGCCATATGTGATTTGCCGGCAGACTTGTACTTGAACCAAGGTCGGGAGTGTCAAAGAGTGTTTTGGGTACCTGACGTCCCTGATGCCTCCTGAGACTCGCCCACCAAAAGGAGAGTTTCCGCGCACTGCAGCAGCTGCCTATGTACGCCCAGAAGACCTTCCAACAAGCTTAAGCTCACAAGCCTTGGCCAGCAATTACACGGACGTGACAGCACACCTTCCCATCCCTAGCTCAATAACGCGAACTGGTTTCTATCATTCTCATTGGGTAAAGTACCCGCACTAAGGCTGCGGTTGCGTCATAGGGGACCGCCTGGAAGGGGTCATTTCCCCAAAATTTTCCAATCCGGCTTCAGGACAATCGCAGTGTGCTTGTGTTGGATCACCACGCTACCAAGGCGGGTTGTGTTTATTTAGCTACTGCTTCACCTCCCTTCGCAAGCGTTGCTCCTCCTTGAAGAAACTCCCAGCCCAACTTCCAACCAAACGTTATCCTCCGCTCCGTCTCCAGTTGTCGTCAGCAACTCCAACCGCCACCATTACCGAGAATCGATAAGCACCGACCGAACGCGCGTTAGGGCCCCCCGACGACGACTTCCGATTCCTTGGATTCCGTCTCAAGATACATCGCCCTAGCTCAGGCTTGCAATCACTCACGCCTTCAGCCTGGCTATGGGTCTCTTTGGCATGGCGGCGAGCTATCTCGCCTTTTCCGTCCTGCATTTCTTCCAATTTGTTCTGGCTGTGACCGCCTGTGGCCTATACGCCGTCGATCTCAATCATGCCAGAAGCGAGGGAAGCTATATTGACGGAAAATGGGTACGTTCGTTCTCATTGTGATTTCTCAGTCTTATTCGCCGCGCTTCTACGCGGCTTACTCTGCATATGGGACGATGAATTGGCTGACATCCACTCACAGGTTTTCGCGGTCGTAGTTGGCGCTCTCTCCGCGGTTACGGCCTTGATATACTTCATCCCCTTCATCCTGCGATTCGCCATCGTCTGGGTTTGGGATGCCGTTCTATTCATTCTGTGGATCGCCGTCTTTGGTCTCTTTGGTAGTGTAAGCATTACCTACTCCACCATACTCCCTTCACATCGATGCATCAAACGTTGTTACTGACTCTGCCATGCTACAGATGTACATCAAGGAGAATGCCGAGGGCGACAACGGGATCCAGCGGATGAAGAACGCCGTCTGGGTGGATTTGGCCAACGCTCTTCTCTGGCTTGTCAGTGCCCTGGCAACGGCCGCCTATTGGTGGAGACACCGCGAGCGCCGCACTCGATTCACTGGCCGAGGAAAGGTTTAGATGGAGAGAGATCCGTGTTCCATGAAGGTAGCTCTTCTAGGAATCACGATCTGTCATCCGGCCGGACACTAGAGCATTCCAATATTATACAGTAACGGCGTTGCTACTAGAGAGGTCTTTTTCTTTTTTCCTTGCTTCGAAATCGATACCAAAATCTTGTCGGGGTTTGGTTTCTATTCTATTATGGTCCATTTCCTCCCTCATTGCCCCCTCCACAACTCTTCCTATAATGCAATATCTTTAGATCAATGGAATCCTTCATGCCACGCAGTCTCAAACAACTGGAGTGGCACATTTCGTAATGACTCGAGCGTTCACATCGACATCTGTTCAGGCGCCCTTCTTGCGACAGTGTGTTCCAAATGTCACTGCTATGTGAGACGCTAACCAAAATTGGCCGACACGCTCATCGACCAGGGACCAAGTTGCAAATAGATGCCGGAGTATCCGTAATAGGGCAGTTACTAAGACATGTTCCAAATAGCGACGAAGTCCCGCCACAGCGCGAGCGTCGGCACGGTAGGTAGCCAACCCTTCTCCCCGGGTACAGGTAGAATGCCAGAGCAATTTGGTCGGCGGCCAGAGACTAACCCTATTTAGAAGGCACTGCCACCACCGCCACTTCCACCGCCACTACAACCACCACCCTTTTTGCCGTAAATCCACTATCGCTAACAGACGCCTACGTTGCCTAAGATTAAGCCCTTATATCTAACCTTTAAAAAGTACTAGCAACACGTATAAACTTACTATTATTTAAGGGTATTACTCTTTATTTTTCATTAAATAGGTCATATAATATAGTAGATTTTTAAATTAATTGCAGCTGTTGCCTCTATTTTGCCTTGACTTTAAATCGCTTAAATCTGAGGAGTTTTTAACTTTATGTAACTTTCCAATTCCTAGCCTTGTCATTGGTCAGTCAAGTCGGAATATCGTTTTTGCTGGCGCTGACATAATATATTCCGAAATAGGCTTAACCCACTGGCCGCCGACCAAATTGCTCTGGCATTCTACCTGTACCCCTTCTCCCCTCGTACCCGGCCACGTTCCGGCCCTTGGACCGAAAGGTTCCCCCGGTGTGCCTATCAATGCGGGTGGCTGCACGGGTTGACGGGCACCCGGTTTGCAAAAAAAAAAAAAAAAAAAAAAAAAAAAAAAAAAAGTGCACCCTTTAGCCCACCTACACCAAATGCTCCCTTTCCTGCCCCAAGAGACTATTGACAAGTAGGTAGATCAAATGCCCCAGCAACTTAAAGAGACTATTATAAGAGAGGGCAAAATAACACAATACTGATAGACAATGTTATAAGCATCTAAAATCACTTATTTTTATGGTAATGTTTAGATTTTTATGGTTATATTCGTAGGGGTAGGGAAAGGGAGCATTAGGTGAGGATAGACTAAAAGTGTGCACTTTTTTTTTTTTGCAAACCGGGTGACGGACTGGATATTGTCTGGAATCCATCTCATCATCGGCGGGCCCTAGGATGCCCCCAGAACCTATGAGTCCGTACCGTGCCGTGCGTGTACGGATTAAAATAGCCTTTCCACACCGTATTGTAATGCACGGCCCCGGAAGAGTTTCTCCTAAATTTCGGGTGCGGCCTTTATCAGCAAACTGCGCCAGGATTGTCACCCTGCCCAGCGAGACTCATACCTAGGGCCAGGCAGGGACAGAAGGATCGTGCCAAGGTCGCGGGGTTGAGTCCTCTCAATCCCACAGGCGCTGAGCAACAGTGCCCCTCCTGCACCGTGACGTAGTGGCTGCGATCGGTCCACCTACGAATGTGTTCCTGGTCGGGGTTTTCTCTTACAGATGAGCGAGCGTGGCGCGGTTCGAAGAAATACGTCTAGCCGAATTTTTCATAGACCGCTAGCCTCCCTTATGAGCTCCTTGACACAATCGCTCATGAACTTTGTACATGGACTGGGCCATCTTATGTGTCGTCAGGATTTGGTATTTCATTCGTAGCATCTAGTAAAACCCCTTTAGTGTTCTCTCTGTTACGCCACATTCGAAAACGATAAACAGGAAGTCAGGCGGCTCAACATCCGGCCTTCAAATCCGCAAATGAGGCGGCAAATTACCCCCGGGCTTTCCTTCGGCGTCAAACGCGCAAGCTCGCTGGGTATGAAAAGCATTTGCAACGTCTAGAGAGTACATGTGCTGCAATCTACCTATAGCGTTGCGTAAGAAGCCGTCCACGTCAACGCAGCAGTTGAGGGACAGCTAAGATCGGCGACAGGATCAGCAGAGGGGTTCTAGGCGACTGGCTTCTAATTCTTGAGATATAGCCTCGACTCACTCATTAATTGGACGAATCCAGTAGGTATGCAGCTTCATGGGGCCATTTCAACAGTGCTTAGAATCATGTTTTTATGGACCCTTGCCTATCTTACGTTGATTCCATTCAATCTCCGGATAAAGCGATAACAAGCTTCCATCGGCCAGCACCGAGAAGATGAGCATAATTGGCGAAGGAATTAAAGGACTCGGAGACCAAAGCACATACACACTACACACACAGCGGTCGGGCGGCGCGGTGTTATTTTTCTTTCTCTCTGTGGAATAGGCCTTCTGGCATCGGCATCTTTGTTACTGTCTCCCAACCCCCAGCAAAGTAAAGGCACAGGCAGCAAGGGGATTCAAGTGCCCCAACAAGTGCCAAGAGTGGCAACTGTTGGCACCAGGCGATGCCCGAGGTGCCGAGGGAATGTAACCGACAAGGTCCTGACACTGGCTGAGTGGGTGTGTGTCAACAGCCGCCATATGTAGCGTAGACTTTGGCTTTTCTGCTTTGGGAAGAAGGGAGTTAAGTACACATACCTAGATGTGATGGGCAGCCTGCAGGAGCTGGTGGCAACAAGGGCTGACCATGGTGGCACTGGACGCGACGTGATTTCACGTTGGAGGCGCTCGTGGCGTATCCGCAATGAAGGTTGCCACCAGCCCGGCCCCGAGCTGCAGGAGAGGACACTGGTGTGTTTGGGTGTTGCTAACGTACAGGTATTACATGTCACAGGACGAAAGTCAAATAGGGGCAGCAGTGTAATGCCGGCATCAGACTCAATATGGTCTTCGATCTATCTGCGGCGGACACTGGCGTTAGTAAAATACGTATCCAACCAAGGGTGGTTGCACTTGAGATTGCAAAGGTACCGTATCCTCTCAGCAGATTCGTACACCGCACAGACCACCCACTAGGCCAATTTCGAAAGGCGGTCAGCCAGCCTAGCCACCCACCTAGCCATCTAACCCTAACCCTTGCCACCAAACTTGCTGCTGACGTTGACTAACCCTTGCATTTGCCACTTCTAGATCCCTGTTTCTGCCAGCCTGCTAGCCCCTATCCAGCAGCCCGTGGTCGGTGCGGTGTACGAATCTACCGAGAGGATACGGTACTCTTAACATAGTCGGAAAGACACAGTATAAGCATTTTCCCTGACACTCAACAGAGTCAACACAATAGGAGTGATCTGCGGCGGACATAGTGGACGCTGGTTGGATATGGCGGTAGTGCTGATACAACTAATTGAACAGCATGGTTTTGGAGTCACCGGCTGAGCTTGGACGAGCAGTGGTGATTGTCGCTAACGATCGACAACGGTATTTCCTGTCGAGAATCTAGGCGCAGCCAGGTGTGTTATTGAGAATGAAGGTAGTGTAGTGGACCTGAGGTGAGTGGTTGTTTAACACTGGGACGGCTGCCTCATGCTGTGATCTGTGTTGCTTCTTAATTTGGATGATTCAGCTTACCTTGCAGATACCAAACTACACTACCTACCTACCGATTGGCACCGAGGTATGCCAGTAGAGCACCACACCGCACTGACTGCCATAAGGTACCTTTCTTCACCGATACCTGATGGGGCTCACACAAAGGTATCTGAGCATGCAGGCTAGGCTACGCGGGTACCCATCCTATGAAACCGGATAAGTCCCTGCCTAGCTGGTGGACCTGACGTTCTCTCCTACACCCTCTGAGATAGATACGTACCTAGCCAAGGCGGCCCCCCTTCAGAGAACCGAGAGAACCGAGAAGTGCAAGGCAAGACAAGAGACAGAAAGGAAAAGGCACGCTGCGACTGCAACGCCATTCGTTGCAATGTGGATTTCGGACGCACTTGCAGATGCAACTGCGAACCTACGCCAACAAATGCAGCCGAAAGGAATCCTTGAGGCACAAGGGAGACAAGCAAGCGTGCAATTGTTGCCTGCACCCTCCTCCACTGCCATAATAAATAGTTTCCACATGGTATTGATGAACCACTCTGGCGTCTTGTTCCTGGCTAGGTTGATGGCCTGTTTATGTGCCTCTCTCTGTGCCCACCAAAACGGTGATGGGAGACCATTGGACCCTTGTGCCTCTATCTTCCCTTTCCCCTCAGTCCGCCGCTTCCCTTCCTAGTGTATAATCTACTAGGTATGCACACTTGTTCCTCCGTTTATGATATGTGAGAGGCCTGGGAAGCGATCCATTCAACCGTTCGACAGCGGCGGCACCACCAGCCGCGATACGCACGTCTGTCCCTTGTTGATCCTTGATGGCCTTCCTTTCCTTCTTCCATCTAAATTCTAAACAGTTCCCAGAAGGACCATCAGTCTTGCAGTTCAACTAGAAATTACAATCAGCCCCGACGAACAGAGGTCTCTACCTCCTTTTTTGAAGTCAACACCAGACCGTTCGCGTTCGTGTGTACGGCTGACTTCCATAATATTCTTGTTCGTTGGCTTCCAAATGCCCTGCCATCTTTCCACATTGCCGCCAACACAATCTCTCTTTCGCCGACACCCTTGAGCAACCTCACAGCTGGGCTCGAAACCGCTCCATACCACGTCCGAATATATACTCCCTGTTCAAGGTCAACATCACCAAAATACCCTTCCTGATAAGGTCAAATACGATCGCAAGCACGGGCACAAGCAAAGAAAGGCATAGACCACTGCTACCAACACGCTTCGGCTTGCTGTAGCAAAAGCCCGGGTTATCTCGCCCTAGTACCTTATAGAAGGAAATTCTACAATCTAACCCGCCAAAGTGGTTCGAAATCAACATCTCCCCGGAAATCCGGCCTCCAGCCCGAGATCAAGACCACTTGCGCTACACTTGACACTGCACGAACGAGATGCGTCAGAAGAGACTTTGAAGGACCGCCGAGTATTAGACGCTGGGCCTGAAGTCGAAAGCCGCCTCTCGAGCCTTGATTCCGAGCCTTTGAACATCATTTCGACCTTTGCAAGCGGGCCCTGGCGCTGCACACATCCCTTCTCCTTCACCGCATGCACATACTCACCCACCTTCGTACATAATATCTGCCTTCTTACAGACCACCACAAGGCATTGGTTTACCCCCTTTCCCGTGGTCTGACCCTACGCTGGTCCGACAATCTGATGTCGAGGGAAAGGTGTTTGGAGGTGGATGACCTTTGCCCATGGAATAACCCCAACGACCATACACACAAACGCATTTAGGACGAGGACGATAGCGACGTCAACGCACAGCGCAAACGCACACAAACAAGAGCTGCGAGACTCTCTCTCAACCGCGCATCCCGATACTATACTTGGTGGAAGCCAGGCTTCCTCAGAAGGCATCTGCTATCATCGTGTTACTACTCACTCACACGTGGCATGGCCGGCGGTTTTGACCAGCACCAGGAATTGCCAGGCATTGGACAGGAGCGAACAAATATGGCAGGCCTAAGCCGCTCGTTCAAATCACCAGCCTACTTGCGGGCAAGACGACCGGCCATACCTGGAAGGGCCTTGTCCAACTCTTCAGACATATCGGTCGCCTCGACGGGTTCTCGCTCCGACGACCATTACGATCTGCCTATGTCTGGGCTCAACACACCAGCTCACGAAAAGCCGGGAACGGATGGGCCCAAGATGCCAGCGCACTCCGAGTTGAGCTTTCCTAAAGGTACGTTGCTACCTACATTGCTTCTTGTTTCGTCCAAATGATTTTTTCTATCCCACTTACCGTTTTGCGTGTTCCCTTGTGTTTCTGCTATTCTTGGGTCGAAGCCAGTCTCAGTGATTCGGTCATGTTGATTTGGTTTTGCATTGATTTGATTCGGACTTCACCTTTTCCAGCCCCCTTCCTCAGGAGCGGACGCCTCTCTGCTCTGACCTGTTCCTTATCTCGCCTCTCATTAATATTTCCGACGGTGTCCGTCGTGTTCTCTTTTGAGTGCCCCAATACCCTGTACCCGGTCATTAATGGCGCAATGCGTCGTCGGCCCTGATAATGGTAACGCCAGTTCGCCGTTTTTGTGAGCCGCCCAAGTGGAGGCCCCATGGTAGATGGAAGTTGGCTCGGGTCTGAAGACGGAGGTACAAGTTTGCCTGCGAGGTCTTTTGGCATTCGTTTCCTCCATGGCTTTTAATATTTTCCTGCTTCGTTATATTTCTACCAAAGGCTACCCGGGGTAAACCCAAAAGCCAGAGCCTCAGGGGTCGGAGAACAATGAGGGCTCGAAGTCACTAGGCCGCATTGACGGGGTTGGCTCCGACGAGCAGCGAGTGGACATGCCGTGTGCTGTTAGCAGCATTATCACGTTACTTCACGTACCACCTACGTACGTAAGGTTGCGTTGAAAGGGGGGTTGGAGAAGAGGTCGCGCCTATGTCTGTGCCCTGGCCAGAGCTGGTCTCTCTCAACCACCCATAGCCATAGCTGCTACCGGCTCGCCACATCACGTACTCCCTCAGGCCGAGAGACCAGCAAAGGACGCCGTCACGCCTGCGTTACAGGACGCCCGTAACATTGTGTGCGGCGACCCAAGGCTTTCCATGCCTAATGTCTTCGTACCTGACGTTTAGGCCATGCCGCTAGAATCAGGTGGTATCTTTTGGGGTCGAGAGTGGGTATTTGCACACACCACTGGGCTGAGTCGACTATGCAGTGCGACGGACCCAGCGTCAACTAGGGTCCCACCGCCTCTGTGTCTCTGCGTCCAGCCCATCTGCGGCGGCCCCCTTGCGGCTTTGGAAGGGATATGAAGGCATGGGGTCACCTGAACCCTCGGCTTTCCATGTCTGGGGATCATGGCCAGAGGTTAGCTGGGCGGCCTTGGTTTTGACTCGGCCAGGACCCTGCCACATATCGTCATTGTTCACTTACTGTTGTCACTTTTTCCCTCCTACGCTAAGCCCATTTCTTACCCTCCTACAGTTCGCTCCCGTCTCTCATGGCTCCAAGGGTCCCTTACCGTTGCGTCATGTCCATTTTCTTCTCTTTTCTTTTGCCTTTTTTCCTAATCGGTTCCGATCGGGGTCTGACACACATCGATGTTCCTTGCGTTCCCGACAGGAGACCACGAGACTAATCCGCCCTCGGCTTTTCTTAATAGAGGAAACATCCGCACCATGCCAACTCGACTTGTCTACTCTTCAATCCGCACGATACAATCGCAGTCGTCCGGTTGCCATCGACTTGCCTCCTGCCACTATTCGAAAGATAAACTCGGCGCCCGCCTGTACGCCAACACCGCCTGAACCTTTGTCGGCCCGTGGAGACGTCCCTGGGTAAGTGCAGTGCAATGTCCTTGCCCCAACCATTATGTCGTTGTCCTACAGTGGTAGGATTCGTGAAACCATTGACGAAATGAAGTAACAAAGAAAAAAAAAAGGACACTCAAGGAACTGACTTGAATTTTCTAGTGGCTATTTCCCGTTTCACGAAAACCCTAAAGGTCGCATTCACCGTCCACACCCTTTCCAGGCCCAAACCGAAGTTGGCCGTACGAGACACCACTCTCTTTCCCTCGCCGTCGATTCCTCGTCCAGGTCTGACCAACGCGGTGCTTCTCTGTCCGCAGCCATGGCGTCGTCAGTCCGTCTCTCTTCTCTGAGTGCCATTGGTTCCTCCGATCTTTCCAATGTCAACACACCTGTCGCATCTTACCTTCCCAGCGGGGTTCACGATAGCCCTTTACCAATGGGCAAATATTATCCATCCAACTACGAGCAACAGAACAACCACGGCGCAAGGACTGGGTCTCCCGGAACTCCGAGCCGTTCCTCTACAAGATCCGAGGGTCATGTATCTACGTGCGAGGCTTTCAGGACATCTTCACGACAAGACTCGGAAGCCCGCCGTAAACTTCAACAGTACCAGCGGGATATGATTGCACAGGCAAGATTGGCAGCTAGTGAAGTGCTTGAGAGTTCGCCTAATCAAGCCAACGCAGCATCAAGCTCCACAATTATGTTGAACGGGATACCATTGACGAATGTGCATCACATCGGAGCAACCGGCGTCCACAAGCCCACATCACCGAGACTCTTGCCACTGGGAAGTCCAGGCCCTGTGACACCCATGGATTTGGAGGGCGGGTACCTCGATTGGGGCTGCAATGATGAAATCGCGCGAGTGTTGCAGGCCGAAGAACAACGGATGCGCCGGGAAGGAGTAACTTCTCCGGCAGTGGGAACGGGCCCGCAACCCTATTAGGTGGCGAGAGGCATTGATCTTGGCATTCAAGTTCGCGATCATACGTTACTATGCTTATTTCAATACTACGGCAACAATAGTAAGAAAAGGCAGAGATGTCAGAAAAGAGAAGAAAACCCGGGGAAGCCCGGGTGGAGATGACCACTTGGTCAAGAGACGATCGTTTATGGTTATGATACCCCTCTGGTTACTAGGTATAGTAAGTAGGACTTGATTTTGTGGACACCGTGGTAGTGAAAAGAAGGAGGTGGAAAAACATGGTTGGGCTTTTGGTTGATGGTGGTCTCGGGGTCGAGCCATTTGATACCCATAACATGGACTACTTTCGTTACATCTATCGGAGTGGGGTGGCGCAACCATCACCAGCCGCGCGTACATTGTTTTTAGTACAAGGCAGGTGACAGGCTCGTTGTGGGTAGAATGGTAGGGACAAAGATGGCCCATTTTAAACGATTATGTTTGCCCATCACCAAATAGGCGGTGCTCTGTGGACCTTGCTACCCTACCTAGATAGGTACTCTTCAACCTTGACCGGAAGACAAACATGAACTACCTACAGACAGTATGGACACCACAGGTCCAACTGTCAGCACATTGATATCAAATCAATTTTGCGTACGAGAAACGCGGTTCTTTTTTTCTTTCTCTTTTTCTTTTTCTTTTTCTTTTGCCAAATGTACTAATCCTATCCTCAAGACCTCAAGCGGCCTTGCAATAGTTGGCAGGGAAACTACCCTTTACGCCACCCAGTTCGCCCATCCACCAGTCCTGATCCGTTTCTGTCTTTTTTACGATCCTGATTCTATCACCTTCGCGGAAGCTTAAATCCCCGTCGCCTCCTGAGAAATCATACTGAGCTACAACATACTCTTCCGGCGCCTTTAAGCGCTTCGCTGGGGGCGGTGGTGGTGGCTTCTTCTTCGCTACAACATTGCCGTGATCCGATGGAAGCCCTGATTGGTGGCCGAAATACTCCGCACGGGAGCCTATGTAGGCCGGCGACACATTCGAAGCGCCTTGAGGTTGTCCAAGAGCTGTGGCAGTTGTGAAGTCGGTAGGGAGGCCGAGCTGCGAGCGCGAGACGCTTATACTGCTTGATTGTGGACTTGGCTGCGGCGAGAAATCTAAAGTGGATGCGGATCGATTGGCTGAGGTGGTAGAAGGTATTCGCATGGTTCGTAGCGTCGGTGCTGCACTTTCACTTGTATCAGACGGTGTCCGAGCGAATCCGTTGCGTGATGATGCTGGGTATGCCGATGACTTCCGACTCTGTCCGTCATCCCCTATCCTGGCCGGCTGTCTCCAGTTCTTGCCATGCGATATGCAGCTGATAGCCTCAACCTCTCTCTGCACAGGTAGAAATGTTGCAGACCAAGCCGATACCACGTTTTCCATGGGGGTGGAGGAGAAGGGAAATCGTGGTCCTCGCAGTAGTTGTGGAGCGCAGTGTAGTACAGGCCAAGTAGCCTGTTTTGAATGCAGACGTGAGAGGCTAGCAAGTGAGGAATTAAGGCAAATATGGCTTCTATGATGGGGGGTAAGGCATCTCGAAGGTGGACATCTGCGACCTCGAACTCCTTTGATTGAGATCCGTCAGCTGGTGTGAAGCTCAACTTCGCATTGCCCGGCGGGTGCTTACCTCGGACGCGCATGACATCTCAAATTCAACCTTTGACAGCTGGGCATCTTCTTTTGGCGTCCTCCCGGTCTTCTTCTGAAGCTTTTTGACCTTCTCTTGGGCCTTCTCATAGTCCAGCCGTTTGTTCTCGCGCTTCTTGATAGTTTTACGTAGAGGCTGAATGAATTCGCGGGCTTCAGTGGCTGGACGAATGACCTGGGAGTCAATTGCCGCCACTTCCCCAATCAGCTCATCCTTGAGGTCGGAGTACACTCCGCTGAGCTTAAATGTGCGATCGAGCTGCAGCTGAGGCGTCTCAACGCCGGGGCGAGCATGTCCCTCGGAGGCTCCAACAATGGGGTCATACAATCCCTGATATTCCTTCACGATAGCCCACTGGCTAGTGACCATGGCCACCCAGGCATCACGGAGAGTCCTCGTGTTCTCGATGATCTGACACAAAGGCAATAAGTCAGAAGGGAGAAGTAGCTCATTTGAATTAAGGAGGACATGTATGTGTGGTACAAGGTGATATACCTTGCTCAGCAGGCTGTCTGCATCTTCGTAGTCGTGTAAGACTGCGGCGATTTTGGCATTGTCACCAGGGCTCTTGCTCATGAGCTTGCCGAACTGCCTTTGCACGGACTGCATCTTGTATCAGGGGAATCGAAGGCCACCAAAATGGCGGTGCTGAAGACGAGAGAAAGGAAATGAAGGGCGTGGTCTCGGTAGTTGTAGGACGCCGGTCTCAGGGCGCTGGTCGAGGCGGCAGAACGAATGGGCAATGACAACGAGATTTGGCCGGGAGGGTTACATCAGTTTCAAAGCTTCAGTATTGCGGGCCTAGATGGCGACTCTCGTGCCATATGAGTTGGGAATGGAAAGAATGTCGAACGGCGGTGTCGGACACTGTTTCGAGCACCGGCGTTGTGATGTTAATAGAAGCGGAGGGGGTTTGGTCGTTGGGAAGGGTGAAGGAAGAGCAGCCGCTGGTAACGCGTCTTAACAGTACCTACCCACCTACCTAGGTAGTACAAGTACATTTTTATTGAGGCACTGCAGGGGAGATGACTAGGTACATTTGAGTGAGGGGTTCTAGAGGAAGGTCATGTTTGCGCGACGGAGCTTGCCGAAGACGAGAGGTAGCGTCGGATGCGGTGGGGTTTTACTTTTTGGTCGACATAAGAGCAGGATGCCGGGGAGAAAGCGGATAGTTGCGTTGAAGGAGGGGGCCCCAAACCCTTTTGCAGCGAATCACAACGCGAAAAATGAACGAATAACCTACCCTAGCCCAAGTCGCAGAACAGAGATAGGTATATACTCCAGACTCGGGTCAATTGCGGTTTGCTGTATGAAAGGAGCCCACGTCTGGCATTGGCATCCCCAAATATCCCTCAGGCTTTGCTCATTGCCCTTTGGAACATGCAGCTTAGGCAGAATGCCGTGCGCAGCATGCGACGTGTACTACATTGGCCAAAGCTCTTGATCTGCAGCTTACTGGAGGAAACGTTGATCTTCAGAGGCGGTGTGAGCCAACGATTTGCAGCAGTCAATAGAATCAAGAAGTGTCTCCAAGTGTTATAGCTATGATCGGCTCCCGGCACGAGTCGAATCCTCCCTCCCACCTTGGCGGCGGACAGGCGGGTCCAAGGCCAAGCCAGTTGCCTGCCTCAGCTCAACATGCCGCTTAGCGGCCCAAAGATACTGTGATGTACCTTGGCCTGACTAGTACCATCAACCATTGGCAAGGACTAAGTTCCAGACCGCGTAGAACAGCCATACATGCGGAAAATGTAACGAGGTTTGAGACATATTTGTGCTGTACTTTACGCGATTGCGCAAAGGGCAGAAAGCGGTTGACTCCTCAATCATTACATCTCTGCCGCCAATCCAAATTTTCCAGCATTTCCCAGTTACCCTGTGGCATTGTGGTCGCCACAAACACGGCGAGCGGTGCATTAGCAGGTCACGTGTCTCGGCACGGGGATAGGCGTTGACGCTCCGTCCTCTTTACGCGCGCTGAGTCGCGTCTTGTTTTGCTCGTTTATATTGCATTCGGCTTGTACTGAACAAGGCCAACCCCATCGCCACCCTACGCAGTTTCTCGATCAATTATGGGTTGAATCTTCTGTGTAACAGGCAGTCTTCACGGACAAAATGTCTCTTACAGGTCACAATACTAAGAGTAGCGACAGCCAACCAGCACTTGGCCTGCCTGTTGCCGCTCCCGTCTTGGAATACGTTTGCCTGTTTACCCACGATCTGAAACGCAAGCAGAAGCGATGGCAGGATGGTCGACTCAAATTTCACACATTTAACAAACGCATTATGGTGTACGATGAGAGGGGTAACTTTATCGGCGATATGCATTGGCGCGAGGATTTCGACTTTGGCGAAGGCGAAGAATTCAACCTGGAGCGAGGCGCAGTTATAGTCCAGGTTTCTGAGTGCGTGGGCAGCAAAGACCAAGATCTCACTGACCTCCTCGATAAGAGAGCCAGGGAAGCCGAGCAGAGGTATGCGCGTTCTTCTGCCGCCACCGCAAATTCACCTCATCTTACCGTACGGCCGCCCATTGTGCCCCAAACCCATCCCCAGGCATCTTTCAGGCAACGCCACCTCGTTGACGTTGTCAACACTCCACGAGGGCCACGGGGCAGGGCTGTTATACCCACAATCTCTCCCTACGAAGAACGTATCGTTACCCAGCAATTGTTAAACTCCTCGGAGGGTGAGAGCCAAAGGCCTATCAAGAGGAGAAGAGACATTTCGCCTCCAAGCAAGTCAGGCTATGCTCAAAACTTGTTCGGCGCAACTCTGAACCTTTCATCTTGGTCAGCTAGTGCTCCATTGCGACAACAGCCGACACAAACAAATAGAAATGCTTCTCCCACCCCAGAAACAACAGCAAAGCCGGGCGTTCCAAGCAGAAATGCCAGCTCATCATTGCTACGACCTTCTGCAATTCTCAATTTGACGGGTGATGACATAGTTCAAGTTGAATCATTCAAGCCCTCGGCAGCCGCTAGCAAGAGAGGAGGTGCTGGAAACGCAACAGAAACACCACCAAACCTCAATGCTCTGGTTTCAACACCGTTCAAAGCACCAGATACGGGTAAGCTAAGGAGCAAAGCAATCCAGGGAGAAGATCAAATGCTTGCCGAATCCGAAGAAACGCTAGTGGTCAGGGGCCAACAGCCTCAGAGTTGTGCCAACAAAACAAGGAATACGGCTGCGAAGCACAGCGCTCGAAAGTCGCAGGATGCGAAATTGAAATCGATTCGCCATCACTCGGCCGCTCAGCCTAGCAATGATGCACTGCATAACTCCGCGATCCATCCCATTTCTGCAGAAAACGAGTCACCAGAGCAGCGCGGTGGCATTGCAAAGGATACAGACATCTCAGCCCTACAGCCATTAACAGACGAGTCTTTGTTGCGGCTGGTTAGGAACACAGGTCCGGAGGAACCAAAGTCGAAGCTCCGTATCAAGGCTAGAAAGAAGCGTGGCCTATTGATGGTCGCAAAGAACACCACGGCAAAAACTTCAGAAAGACAACCTGATTCGCCGGGTACAAGGATAGAGGCACCTGTAACGGAGAGACAGCTCATGGCGGTTGACACTCTACAAATTGTCGGTCAGGCTGCGAGATCGATTCCCCCAGTTGGCATACTACCTCGTTCCGTAAACTGTGGTGTTGGAGGTGATGCGTGTCAGTGCGAGCCAACAAGGGTATACGACGATGAAAAGATTCAATCTTGGTCCGATTCAGCAATCGAGGCCACGTTTCAGCTCGAGCCCACGCTGGTCAACGGCGATGACATTCAATCATCGGGTGAACCCGTACATTCTAGAGTGAAGTTACGGGAAGACAAGACACAATCTATCACTGGGCCACATAGGGAGGTGGAGATGATGACTACCCAGTCTGGGCCCCGGCTAGCATCTCTCGGACGAAGGAGCGTGAAGAGCAAGGAGGTAATTGGCTCCCTCGACCCAGGAAAATGTCGGGTGGCGGCCGAAAATCCTCCCGCAGCGCCAGCTTCGCGAAAAGAGACCATTGTTTGTCCAAAGACTGACTCGGAGAGGAGCTCCTCAGCTAAGATAGCCGAAACAAGGTTGCAAGAAAAGGCTACTCTTTTGAAGAACCCGGCAACGAGAGGGCGTAAAGCAGCAAAAAAATCAGACGCAGCTGGATCCGTTCCGCAACCCGTGTTATCGGGCATGCCGGATCTCGCTGTTGGCAGGATTGATAGAAGAGGAGGCAGCCGACCGGAGGTAACCCTTGATTCAGCCGCTGCCTTGGGAGGTGAAACCGCACGGGAAGTCTTCGGGTTTTCGAAGGCCAGTGGAGGGCCTTGGAGCAAAGAAGCTTACGACTTACTAGGATGCAGACGGCCCAGGGTGAAAGCCCGGGTGAAGGGTATTGGCGATGGAAACTAGATGAGCTACACGGCTTATGTGTCCGGCGCAACTGGAGTCATTCTTCAAACTTTCAATGAAGTTAGTCACTTTCAGCAATTCGGTCCCTGGTGACAAACACGACCGCTTCAGGGTTAGCATACCCAAGGATATGTTTGTAAGGCGTGAACAGAGTGCGTTTATCGTGCGCTTCTGCAACCTTGAGCAGATTTGTCTGACTGAAAGCTTTCTTGACTAGCAACCTGCGTTCAAGTCTCCTGCTAAGCAACCAGGCGCGTATTGTTTCGAGTTAGACAGCTTTAGCATTCACAGAGATTCATGACCCTGTGTTTGCAAGCTTGTCACGCCGATGGGCACGAGAAGCCCCGAACCAAGACGTAATAAGGCTCTACACCAAGATGCGCAGCCTGCAGAGTCAACTGGACTCAGTTGAGTTCAATAGTGCGGAATTCGGCTTCTGGCCCCGATACTAGGACGCCAGTACAGTGTTGCGTAGTCTCTCTTCAGGCAGTTTCTGCGCTGAATCTATCTCTTCAGTTCTTAATCGCCTTATCACTGTTACGTTACAGCTGCTGAAATGAATGTGCGAACGGCTAGACCACCAGGACTTCTCCACAACTTCAGGAAGGCGATGCCGGCTTCCATACAAAGGCCCGAGGGCGAGCAGGGAGTACAGCACGTGATTTGTTCACGATACTACTTGCTTTGCTAATGTGGTGTCGTTACAGCACAAGCGTCATGACCGACCTCGAGCTTTCATGGTGGAGTACAAGCACCAAAGAGCAACTCGCGCAAGGCCGGCAGTGAGTTCACAAAACGCGGCTTCGCCACAAGCAACAGATCGGCCCACCCTGGTAAACCATGACCGTAACGGCGTAGTCTGTGGTATAATAAGTACTAATAGACCACGACTGATGTAGCGACCGTTCGTGAAGCCACAGTTAAGTATGGAGTCCCTGCCCAGCGATGTTCGATCGTTGCGAATAGCTTTATCCATTAGCAGACTTAATTAAGGGTTTAGTAAACCATCAAACACACCAAACTGGGAGTTAAGTCCCAGGCTTTATGATACTCTGTTCACCGGTGTAGGGAGACGGTCAAATTACAACTTGACTTGCTGGGAATGTCAACACCGCGGAATGGCTGGAGGCAAAGCCCTTGCACCTTGGTGGCGCGTTTCCGACCACCCACACCCACTCCTAGAATCAGTATAGTGACGACCAAAAAGTCGGGAAACCCCGCGTCTAAGGTGCACAACATACATGACTACCCTCTGGGTTTCCAAACTTTTTGGCTGGAACTGCATCCTCTTAGCCTTGTGCCAACACGGGACGGGTAAGATTCCATTGCATTTGTAGCTTCCCCAGCGGGGGTAAGCCACGACAGAGAGAGGTGCGGAGCTTATGTTAAATGTCAAACACCGAGGCATCACACCAGTTCGCTCAATCGTGTGCAAATTGCGTGATAAGATTTGCACCTGGTACATGCTGGTGCGTACGGTATTCACAAATTTGTGCTACACACTATGAGTTCGCACGCTCAGTACGAAGGAAGACGAAGCTTGACGAGGTTGGGGGATTCTAAGTGAGGTGGATTATGTGTGGGGTTGATGGCGCCCATCATCCCGCCCAAAATGCACAAGTGGATTCATCATCCCCGTATTAACCATGCCTGACAGAGAGGATTTGGCTAAGACGGAATGTGCAATCATGAAGGGAACAGGCTACTGAGCGGAGGAGCAACCGGCCAGCCATTCTTCTTTTCACCTGACTGTCTGCCTAGGTAGTTACTTTGCTAAGGCCTCTATTTGTACCTACATAGGGCGTATGAAAGGATAAATTACTTGCTGATCATTCACATGGCGCCATGTCAGCAAAGCTGTCTACAAAAGGGCATAGAAAGGTGGTATTCATAGGTAGGCACTAACAGAGATTCAGACAATGACTGGTCGTCTGAAGCCTCAGGCGACAGTCATTGGTTGCAGTCTGACTCACACTCGTCACGTGACTTTCAGTGCATGGCTTACTGGCCAATGACACTCGAGGATACTCGCCGAAAACCAGCATGCCTAGCTTGCAGTATACGGAGTACAGTATCCAATAAGATGATAGAAAGTGGGTCTACTGGGCTTCTTGAGAGCGTATTATTGGTCCGACTGCGAAACAACAGCCTGGGGACGCTAGTCCATTTTCATCTCGCCGACGAGCTCAATCACAACCACCTGCTGCGCCTTGCTGGGGGTACCAATGTGCTGCCATCAGCGGCCTCACAAGGTGAAATAATATCCGTGATTCCCGCCCAACCACACTGCCCATTGTTCCCCTGAACTCTTCCTCTTTTCTCTTCCTCAGCCAACATTGCAACACCAGACACGCCGAGTGACACATTTCACTGAAGCTACTCCAAAGCTGGAGCAACTCCCCCCTTGGCCCCTCTTCAGACATACGCGGCTCCCATCGACATTGGTCAGTTCACCAACGAATCCAGCTGCTGACAATTGTCTGCTTGCTGCATACGTTCATTTTCCAGAAAGACAATTCACGTCTCACCTGGAAACGAGTGTGACTGTATCTTGGTGTGATCCAACACTGCCGAGACTTATTCCTCGTCAAGGTATGCTTTGTCGCCACTTTGCTTGATCCCCCTATCATGTTGTGCCCCCAGATAGCGCTTAGATGGACAAGTCTGGCGAACTAAAACAACCTTTCTCCCTCGTTATGTACACTCGTGTTAAGCGAATATCCATCCCTCATCTTACTCTATGTTCTCCCGGCATCCGCAAGGGACATGGACACGCAAGGGTCATATACATACTAAGGCGAAAAACAGGTACTCACTCACACTCCAGCAATTGAAACTAGACACACATCCTCCATCAACACCTGGGACTTGAGACCGCATCAGGCATTCGAGCCCTCGCCACTATTTCGTTTACCTTCCGCGGCATGCCTTCAGTAATCAACATCGCAGACACAATGTCCGGTGTGATACAAAGCGATACGGCTGCAGCCTTTCAAGGCTTCTCCATCTCGCAGCCCTTCCTCGGCGCTGCTCTGCAGTTTTACCCTGAGATGGGTACCCAGCAACTCGATGACCTCATCAACGCTTACGTCTCCGGCTCCGCCTCCATCTCAGAAAAGCGTGCCACCGTTTCCATGGACTTCTTCGCCTACTCCCAGCTCACCGGAGAGACCTTCAAATACTACGCCGTTGATGGCCAGTCTTTAAGCACCACGACCTCGTCTGCCGGATCCAGTCCCATGCAGGGCTCCAGCTATAGCTCCAACTTCGTTTCTCCCGTCATCTCTGACTGGAGCTGGTCTCAGTCGACTTCCAGCTCGGCTTCCGTAACAACCCCAACCTCAGTGATCCATGAGGCGATTCCGTCCAAGTCCTCAAAGAAGATTGCCCCGTCGGCAGCAAGGTACCAGGCCAGCGACTTTTCTCATCTACCCGGCATGAAGATTATGACCAAGGATGGCCGTGATGTCACGAACTCTGCTTCTCGCGGTTGCAAGACCAAGGAGCAGCGCGACCACGCCCATCTAATGCGCATTATCAAGGCCTGTGACGCTTGTAAAAAGAAGAAGGTCCGCTGTGACCCCAGTCATAAGAAGCGCAGCGCTACTCAGTCCCAGAGTACCAACGCTGCTGCCACTCCCGTGCGTTTGGCGAAGAAGGCCAAGACATCTGCAAAGGATTCACGAACAGCCACCGAAAGATCATCGCAACAGGACACAGCATTCACAGCACAATCTTTGGTTCCAGAACAGCCATTTGCCAGTCTTGAGATTCCTAGCAATCCTACCAACCTTACAGAGGCCTGGGAGTCCCTTGTTCAGTTCGACGAAGAGCCTGTCGACTTTTCTCCCTTCAACTACGATTTCTTTTTCGACCCAGCTGGCCACCTCACCCCTGAGTCGAGCCAATCTCCCGCCACACCCTCGATGGTATTCGCCCAACTGCAGAGTGGCTTGGGAACCCAGCAGAATCCCGGCGTCAACAAACCATTCTCCGATGAGCTTGGCATTGAGTTTCCTACTCTCCCATACCTGGACTCCACTGCACCTGCGAACAACTACGTCGACTTTAATCTCTACTCACCCGAGCCAAGTTTCTTGGACGACGATGTCGCGCTGCTCACCGACATTGGTTCTGCTATTGGCAGAAACCAGAACACTCTTTCTCGGCATCATGACCCAGCTCAGGATCGCTCGTCGACACCTTTGTTGGAGGATACCGATCCTTCACCAGTAGTACCTGGTGATTGTTTAGTGGTCAGTGACGGTGCAACACCAAGCGGAAACTTCTTGGGAGGATCCAGCACTCAAAAGCGTCGTTGCCATCTCATTCCACGTGGCGGGGTATGCCCAGCTTCAGCGGCACTCTTCGGAGGATTGGAGAACCTGAACTCATCTACTGACGAACAGAGAGTCTCAAAGGTGCGTATCGTGCGTTTGGCTCAGCAACAACTTCGACTGACTATCGAACAGTGTGAACTTGCGTCTCGGACGAACGTGTGCAACAGCTTCTCGGCAGCCCAGACCATGCGCTCATCTCACGTAACGGATGGAAGCCTTCAAACCAGAACAACTCAAGTTCCACAGGCTGCCGTATCTTGTCCAGGTAGCGCACAGCAAGGAACAGTTATACAGCACACGACCGCAACTGGAGCATTTAGCCGGATACCAGCATCCTCAGTAACCGCGCCTTCGCGCTTTTCGAGCTCTGTAGAGGAGCCGTCTTGTGCGAACATTGCAACGACAGCAACTGTTAGCGGCAATCGCAGACTCGCCGACAGCGCAGCTACTAACACTTCACTGGACGTTTACCTCCAGGTATCCGCACACAGGTCGACAGAAAGTCGAAACACTCCTGTACCACTGAGCTTTGTGCATTCCGCCCCTCAAGTCTTCGGACTAAGCGGAGTGCAGTCCCCACTGGCGATGGTTGACGGCTTCCTGTGGAAGGGCCGCACCCATGTCAACAAGCTGTCCAACTCGCAGTTACTGATTTGTACTGTGTTGCTTGCGACGGCGTTTGGCATGTTTGCCAGTTGGCTGGAGGTACAGACAACTATGTACAAGTTCCTCCAAGTCGCTTTTGGTCTGGCCATGTACAACGCCTACCAATCCACCTCCAGTCACCATGACTCGAGACCGCAACAGAGCCATATCAGTACCACGCCAAAGCCACAGGGCTGCAGCGACGGCGCAAGGCTACTCTCCTGTATCAGCACAAGACTGCGACACACCTGTTTTCAGAACCAGGACGCTCATTGCCGGGCCATACCTGCAAGGATGTCGAGGGTTCTAGGCCTCGCGCAAGGGTTCTCATGAGCTCTTACGTCGACCTGCAGCTCGGACTGAGTGGTCCAGACCTGTATGGATAGGGAAATGTGTTTTAATTGTCTTGGCTGATCCTTTTAGGAGCGTTGTTTTCTGAGATACCCCTCTGTTTTATTGATAAGATGCGCAGTCCCCGGCGATGGGATGTGTGTCGGCTATATCATCGGGCAAGTCTGTGCTTTGTACTGCATAAGTGGGAACAAGACACTGGGATATCTTGCAGTTGCGTCCGACTGAAGATCTGTCAAGTTTTCCCCTGGTTTTACTCTTCTGCCGTTTACAATATACTGTCTTGCTCACATACTAGTATGACCATGCACATTCCTTGATGTTTTGTGAAATGCATTGCATTATACGCCCTGATGATTGGGAGGAGATTGTAAGTGTCAGCGCTCCATGCCAAATTCCAATTTGGCAGTGGTTGGTGCACCATTTTTTTGCAGGTCGGGATCACGTGATTGTGTTTGTTCCCACCTGTTTGCAAACTTCATCCCTCCACACACCAACAAAGACTTTATGTCTCCCTAAAGGCCGGAGAAGATTGTGATCGACAGACTTGAGCATGCAATAGTGAGTGATACAACAAACTGCCTTTCAACGTGCTTCGTTTCTTTTCTTCGTAACGGTTTGAGCTGACAATTTTGAGTCATTGCTGTCCTACTTGGGTATTGGTGGTCCATCGCTCAAGGACATAATTGTAACAGTCTTGGATAACTTTCACTATTGGCGGTGTTAGCCTGAGAATTCTTTGTTTTTTGCTGATTCTCTGCGCGACGCAGTAAGGCGGACAATCAGTTGTGCTCTTGTCCTTCCCAGAGGCAAACAACACTCGAGAACAGACCAGAGATAGTGTCCAAGTACTGTGAGGTTTTGTCTGGGAAAAGCCGGAATCATTCTATATCTCAGAAGGGTCTATGTGAGTATTCAGGAGATCTTCTCAGCTCTTGCTCGGCCGCAGTAACAACTAGCGGTGCCTTCTATTGTGCTGCATTCAATACCCTGTTGTACACCACAAGACTCGTCGCTCCAGGCAACAAATCTACCTGTAGTGATATAAAGAAAGTGGAACAGGCTTTCGAAAAGGGCCCGCGTCGGCCTCAAAGATGAAGGAAACGTCAAACCCGTACTTATCCCGGGGTAAGAGTGTACCAATGGAGGGCACCGAGGAAGCTCCTTCCAACACAGCCATTGCAAAGGCCCCTTCCCCGTCAGATCCGCCCGCAGATGGGTCTGAAGACGACGCTAGGCCTGCCGCACAATGGAAAGAGAAAGGGAAGCGGCTCTCTTCAACAAGCAAGTTTCTGCAAAACATCTTCTATCGTCTCATCCCTCCCTTTTCTCCCAATCCCAAACCCTCTTCCTCATCCACCTCGCCACCAACCACAAACACCACGACAGCTTCAACAACCTTGCCACAGCCGGCGCGTCCATCTCGGCAACCACAACCGCCATCCCCACCAGAACACCCAGCGATGGCTGCCGCCTCTGCCCAGCTCAAGGAGCCCGTTATTCCTTTATCGTCCTTTAGCCATGTTGTCACTATCGCGGTGTCAAATAACAATGACGAAGAGAACCAAATCAAAGCTTCCAATGATACAGCTGCTGCCAGAGCTACGGTCCTGGGCCGGACGGATCTTGATTCTACCGATAGACCACGGTCATCGGCATCTATCCCACAGGCATCTTCGACGCCCCTCGGCGAAAGACCTATGCATCAAGCCTTCATGGGCCAGGCCTTGGACATGGTGAGCTGAACCCATGGACACCTTCGTTCCAAAATTGGAGCGAGAAGAAGAAGAACAAGAAGCTAATCACATCTACAGGCTCGTCTGGCTCTGAGAACAAATGAAACGCCGGTTGGCTGTGTTCTCGTCTACAATGGTTCTGTCATCGCAAGAGGCATGAACGCGACCAATGTGACACGAAATGGAACTCGGCATGCCGAGTTCATGGCAGTATCTGCTCTGCTGTCCTATCGACCCAGGAACAATGAGGAGGCCGTTGATACTCAGCTTCGCCAGCAAGCCAGCGAACGGTCCAAGGCAGATGTGACAGACGACGAATCTGACTTATTTCCCATGGACGATGACTACGTAAAAAAGGGTCATCTGTACCCATATGGACAGAAGCTCCATCGCGCCACGCGAGTTGAACGTTCGATTGTGAGGGAGTGTACTCTCTACGTTACAGTCGAACCTTGTGTCATGTGCGCCGGTCTCCTTCGACAACTCGGCATCAAAAAGGTCTACTTTGGTGCCGTCAATGACAAGTTTGGCGGCACGGGAGGCGTTTTCAGCATCCACAAGAACTCAACAGATACGCGCCAGGATCCCAACCCTGTCACTGTTCTCAGACCCCTCCAGACCCTGACCAACGCCTGCAACTTGCCTCGGCCGGTAAGCTCGTCATCTGGTAAGAGTTCATTGAGCAATGGTCATCCAACAAGCCAGTGGGGAGACGGCGGCAACGTCGAGCCGGGATTCGATGCAGAGGGCGGCTGGGGACGAGACGAAGCTGTTGGCTTGCTCCGACGTTTCTACGTTCAGGAAAATGGCCGAGGTAAGCAACCCAATACTATACTGCTCCCCCGATACTTGTTGCTAACGTTTCTCTAGCACCTGTCCCCCGCAAGAAAGAAGGACGCGCTGCTAGACTTGCTGCAATGGAACAGGCTGGAAGCGATGCCACAGCACCCGTAAATCCTCAGTCTTCCGACGGCGACGCTGATGGGCTCAACGATGCCGGCAATGACAACACTGCTACTCCCGAGTCGAATGACGACGTTGCTAACATTTGAGAATAATACATTGCTCGGGGACTTAGACGCCTTTCAGGCTAGTACATATTCCATCATGACAAGCAACGTCGGCGGGCAAGTAAGTTTATTCACGTTTTTTGTTAGATTGCTTTTATTGTACATTGGACGCAAAGCAAATAGATGGACCTGCGTCCTCCATCGGGTATCCTTTCCAACCCCCCCGGCCAGAGTGTCGTGTGCTAGTGACATCCCGCCAAATTCCCTTTTAGATGATATTTTTGTCGCATCTATGATCGGTCACCGTGAGGAGTGACGATCTCCTCAACTTCTCTGTCCTTGCCATTCATGGAGACACCCCGCTCGGAACTGACGGTCTTCTCGAGAGGCTGGGGCTCGGGACTGCTGGCGGCATTGTGATTGTCACTGCGCCAGAAATCTTTCTTGCCTTTGAGGAGACGGCGGACCCAAGGGGGAAGGATGCCGCCAGGTATGCGCCAGGTCCAGGGGTCCTTCTCGTGCTTGTTGTGGGGAACAATACGGCCGCCGGAGGCCTTCTCGATGACCCAAACAAGGGTGTTGATGAGAATGTAGCTGCACACGCCGCCGATGAGACCATCAGCGATAGAGTATGTGAAGGGCATAAGAGCCAAAGTGATGAAGGCAGGGACAGCGTCGCCCATGTATCTCCAGTTGATCTCCGTAACGGCGCGAACCATCATGGATCCAACAAGGATTAATACACAGCCAGTAGCCCACGGGGGAATGGAAGCAAAGATAGGAGCAAAGAAGATGGAGACAAAGAAGCAGAGTCCTGTGGCCATAGCAGTCAGGCCTGTCTTGCCCCCCTCAGATATACCGGCTCCAGACTCGACAAAAGCCGTAACAGGAGGAGTTCCAAAGATGGCGCCGATGGAGATGCTGAGGGCATCGACCATGTAAGCAACAGATGACCCCTCGAAGTCCTGAGTTTCCTCGTCGATAAGGTTCGCGAAGCGAGCCATGGAGTAGAGAGTACCGGTGCAATCGAGAATGTCGACGTAGAGAAAGGTGACCAGAGCCAGACCAAAGGCGCCACTGTGTCCTCCGATATTCCACTCCTGGACATTAAGGGTCCTCTGGAGGGGGTGGAAATCGACAACTCTCTTGAAGAAGTCGAAGTTGGAGTCGCCAACAGTGGTGTACGGGAAGTAGGTGACGTCGGTACCACGGGGCCAGGAGATGATGCTGACGAGGATGATACCAGTGAGAATTGCGCCCTTGAAGCGGTACATCATCAGCATGACGGTCAGAATCCCACCGCAGAATATGCCGATCCACATCATAGGGCTGCGCATCTTGGTGGATGAGGGGCATAAGCCGTCAACCAGCTCACCCTGCAAGCAGCCGGCCAGCTCAAGGGGGGTCGAAGTGGCACCGACGACCAGGCCGATACCCTCACTGTAGGTCAGGCCGATCAAAGTAAGAAAAAGACCAATACCGACACCAGTGGCAAGCTTGATGCAGCGGGGGATGGCACGGGCAAGCCACTGGCGCATGCCGAGCAGGGCAAGGCCAAAGAAGATGAAGCCCTCGATGAAGATGGCGGTAAGAGCGACTTGATAGGGCACTGCGCCCGTTCCGTGATAACCGACAACGGTATAAGCAAAGTAGGCGTTGAGGCCCATACCCGGGGCGACACCAACGGGCATATTAGCCAGTAGTCCCATGAAGAAGGTGGCGAGGGCTGAAATGGCGGCAGTAGCAGTCACGATGTCGCGCTTGACCTCGGCGACGCACAGCAAGTAATCCTGATCATTGTCGCAAGTGAAATCTTCCTGTGTGCGCGGGCAGACGCAGGTTCCGCCTGTGTCGGCTACAATGGACGAGTTGACGGCGATAATGTAGGCCATGGCAAAGAAGGAGACGAGGCCGGCGCGGAGCTCGGTGAAGAACAGTGACCCTTTGCGCTCACGGGGCTTTATTCCGGTCGACTGTCAGCGAGTTGCGCATCGTGCATGAGGCATCTACCGCCTCTGCACTGCGCATGCAGTTTGCATGGACGTGCTCCTTGAGGATTTCCAGGCCGCGGGACGGGACGGGACGGGACTCGACTTACATGACCGGAGCCTTCGAGCTGGAACCACCGACCGACGGGGCCGGCGGCGATCTTAGCATTCCAAGTTTGAACGAACCCCATTTCTACACACAAAAGTTTCCCTCTTTCGCTATGGGAATTGACCGGCGTTCAAACAACGATAAGAATGCCCAGATAGGCACAGTCAAGAAGATGTGAAAGAGCGTAGCGAGCAAGAAGTGGCCGAGTTGATGGGCATGAAAGAGATAATGTAACCCAGTCGACACCAAAAAGTAAGGCCAATCTCAGATAGGGGGCTTGACAATGAGCTGCAAAAGCAAGTAAGGCAAGACCAGGCAAGCCTCAACTTGGTTTCGTGGCAGAGACAAGGGACAGTATGATGATAGGCTGGACAGGGAGACCAATGCAGCGCCGACAGGCGTATGGCGACAGCAGAAGCAACGGCAGAGAACGGCGAAGAGAGAAGAAAGGAGAACAAGCCTAGAAGGACCTATCGACAACCGAGAGAGCGGAACGGTGGATGGGTTTTATCAAATGGCCACGGAACCAGCGGCCGGTAACGGGCAAGGCGTTATCAAGAAAAATTATCGACCAGTATCTATTAGTGCAAAGGATTACGATTTGCTGGAACCCTTCGGCAGGGGGGGGAGGGGGGAGGGGGGGTGCGGTGGGGCACAGAATGGACTCTGAACGGCCTGGACTGCACGTCCGCCCCTCTCTCTTTCTTTCTACGTGACGACTGAATGCCTTAAATGGGATGTAATCAGAGACAGTAAAGCATTCGCAAAGCGTTGTATTCTCGGGCGGGTTCGTGGGAGATGTATTGATGGGCGAAGGCGAAGAAGCCGAAAACCCTCAAAGTGACCGGCCCCAATAGTAGCGCGGGGCCCTTATCACGGTCTCCATTTATCCCCCCCTCTGCTGTACTCTTTCTCTCTCACACACACAAAAAAAGGATACCTTGATTTGGTGTGCAGGCGATGGAACCCTGAAGAGGAGGCCAGCATGGGGCGCTCTAGCAAGCTTGATGATTCCGCCTCCACACCCAAAGAAGCTTCCTTACTCCATGTGGATGTGGGTGCGGCATAGGGGATGGATGAGGTGGCGTTGCATTGCATGTCTTAACACGGGCGAAAGTCCAGCAAGGTTAGAGGCAAATCAGCAGCTCAAATCCATATGGACAGCGGATGGGCCTGGGAACAGAGACATGATAGAAGGCGTTTAAGAGCGCATCAGTATAGAATTATAAGTCGTTGCGGGTTCTTTGGGAATGAGACAGTTCCTTCAGTGATTCTTGTCTCCCAGGGTTGGATCTCATGCCATGTCATGTTAGACCTGATGCGACGTGCCGGGCGGCGCGGAGACGCCTTGCAAGGACCAGTGAACGATATACAATGTTTGGCGTATAAGAAGGGGATACATGATGGAGACAGGCGCTTCTTAGACCTGAAAACATATGGATTGGCCAAGACAATAGGCGTTGGAGTTGGAACAAACTGCATGTTACGCAGGCACAAGCATGAGTTGAAGCTGATGTTGAAGTGGTTGTCCAGAGTGTGATGTTAGGCAACATGGTTCGTGATGGCTGCGGCGGGGAAGATCTAGACGTCGCTGGTGGGGCGGCCGGGCGGAATGCGATGCGTCGAATGGGGGATCAGGACTTTAGCAATGTAATTTAAGTTGCGGGTACTCTCCGCGACCCAAAGAAGCCTCGGGATGATTGGCTTGGGATGTCGGTGAGCAACACCTGCAAATGCAGCTCGGCATGCAGTGCAGCATGCAACTGCAACCACGACACACATCAGATAGGTAGTTTAGCATGGCGGAACGCACTCTTGATTTCAATCTACCTAGGTAGGGGACTTCGTCCGCCCCTCACTTAGTCTACCTCAGCTTAGCTGGCTTTAGTGGTGACTGCATAGATTACATAGGGTGCATGCCTTAGCCTGTTTAGGATATTGCATTTGGAACAGTTATTTCCTCTCCTGCTGCTGCATCCAACCCCAAGATAGAAACAGCTCAACGTTACAGCTTCCTTTCTTATTGCTCCTCAGCTGCCTATTTCTGGCCCCTTTTCCCCTTTTCCCCTTCTCCCCTTTTCCCCCTTTCCCTTTCCCTTCCCCTTTGCATTCTTTGCCTTCTTGTCATCATGCTCCTTCCCGCTGTCTTCTTTGCAGGGATCGGGCATCACCTACCTCTCTGCCTACCTATGTACACCAAGGTACCTGCTCAAATTGTACCCCGACTGCCAGGATCGCCTTTCAACGCCCGCGATTGGCCAGACGCCTTCCGAGGCTAGGCCCTTCTCGGGGCGACCGGCCGTCGCCGTATCTGCTGCCCGTGACAATTCTCTTGCTTACCTGCCTAGTATTGTCCCATAGCCCGCCGAGTGTTTCCGCATGTTCAACCCCCCGGGATTGTGGCTCGGCTTTCTGCCTCATTCGTCCCAATGTATACCGTCAAGAAGCGCTACTGCTCGTGAATTTTCCTGCTCGCTGCGTTCGCCTTGGGAAATCGCAACACTGCCCTACCATCACGTCACCCGAGTATTTCTTGTCTCTGGAGTAGTGCGAACCAGCCAGGCGACCCACCCACCCCAATATGGCATGCGAGGCATCAAATGGGTTAAAGCCACGTCTTGGGTCCCGCCAAGCCGGCTGAGTCCACCGTTGCGCGATGTCTTGCTTGGGGCGCTTCAGCTCTTAGTCTCGTTCCAGCCTGTACTCACACGGGGCGGTGCTGGCTCATGAAGATCACCACTGCTCGATTGGGAACTCGGCTTGACCAACCCATTCTCAATTCTTCGCATCCGGCCGCCGGCCGCTACCTCAGTCCGGATGCCGGCGCCCACCGCTACCAACATCACTACTGCAGCCAATCCGCCACATGTCGTTTGTCTCGGCGATAGGGGACCCCCACAAACTCGGTGCTAAGTGGACCATTCGTTGATCTGGACTCTGAGTTG